AAACAGAGCACTTGGCGCACGCAAAACAGAGCTGGCACCAGCACCAGCTAATTGGCGCCAATGGCTAGCACCAGGCGCCAATGGCTGGCGCCAGGCGCGCCAATGCCTGGAGTCAGGCGCCAGGCCTGTTTTGGACGCGTTTTTGAAAATCAGATAAGTTTGTCGTACTGGAGGATAAAATCGTATATTTTCCTCAAAAATGCTATTTGATTTTAATTAAAACTCTGAAAAGTCAACAAAAGTCAATTTATCAATGCTAATTGAATTAGGAATGAAAAGAACCTTCTAGAAGAATCTAGAAGACTAAAACCATTCCTAATTGCATTAGGAATGATAAATCATATTAGGCCCTCCTCTAGATCATTGGGCCACATATAAAGCTCAAATCGGGCCCAGTTTAGTAAATTGGCCACATATAACTTCCTCAATATTCATCGGAATTGGGCTTATAATTTATCGTTGGAAAGCTCTTTGCAAGCCTCATCCAACTACACTACTATTGGACCCATATCATGGACCAACCAAACTGGATTGGCTGTTTTCTTAAAATAAGTTTTCAAAAACAGAGAGAAGAGAAAAGAAATTAAAACTATCCGCAACACTAGACTTTCCACACTTTTGCTTCATTCGATTATGATTCGACGTGAAAGGTACTCATCACAGGGTTTGGTTTTTGGGGAGACACAAATGGGTGTCTACAGAAGTCCCCACTTTGACTGAGTTTGGAGAAACGCGAGTTTCGAAAACAAAAGTCAAAGTATCGATAAGGACGGAGAATGATTCAGAACGTTCTGCGATCCTAAATCACTCTTGTAACGCCGATACCTGCAAAACTAGCGTTAGTTAAACAGATAAAAGAGTTAAGAAACGTGTATCTTGCACTGTCGAGCACACGTTTCTGAAAGTAACCGATTGTTTTGATGACCTCCGGCAAGCTAGAGAATACCATCCCGCTTGAAAACCGCTACGCCCGTAACTGCTTCCAAATTAGAAGATTGCTTCGCCTGAAACGATCCTCCTCCGCTTTGATAATATTCCATATCCAAGGGAATACCATCGAAGATTGCTTGTCTTGAAACAATCCTCATCCGCATTGATAATGCTCCACATCCAAGGGAATACTATCGAAGATTTCTTCTCTTGAAACAATCCTCAGTTGTTTGTGACAACTCTCCACGATCTAGGGAACGCCACCTTGCTGTATCGATGTTCACTCGTCTTTGAACAAAGAGCTTCTTTTTGATATGTTCACGCGCCTCTGAACAAAGAGCTTCTTTTTTATATGTTCACCTGAATGATGTGTCCACGCGTCTCTGAATAAAGAGCTTGATAATAGGATGCCCACGCGTCTCTGAGCAAAAGAGCTTGAAAATAGGAGATCTTTGATGATATGTCCACGCGTCTCTAAATAAAAGAGCTTTTGAATGATATGCCCACGCGTCTCTGGAGCAAAAGAGCTTGATGGAAATGTTCACGCGTCTCTGAACAAAAGAGCTTTGAATGAAATGTCCTCGCGTCTCTGGACAATCGAGCTTGAATGGAAATGTTCACGCGTCTCTGAACAATAGAGCTTGAATGAAATGTCCACGCGTCTCTGAACAAAAGAGCTTTGAAAAATATGCCCACGCGTCTCTGGAGCAAAGAGCTTCGATGATTGAATGTTTGTTGCGATAATATTCTGAAGAAAAATTTCCGAAGACCAACGTTTGTCGATCTCTAAAGCTTGCCTGAACTTTGTTTCCGCTAAAACCAGTATGTCGGTGTCTCCGTGATTAGGCGCTTTAAGCTAAGTGAGACGATCTTTCATCAGGTCGACCACTTATTGCAATTGTAATCAAACTGACTACTTAATCATGTCAAATTGCTTATAGGGGCTAACTGGCGTACCAAGGAACCCGAAATTGTTGTATGATGTCAAAATCACCTTTCCGAGGGGCTTCGAGCTATGTCGCTGCTGAAATATCTCTGGCGCTAGTAATGGGAGTAGGGTCTTCCCTATTCTGCTGCACCTGTATTTATTTTTGACTATAAAACTTTTCCAATCTCTTTAATCATCTTAGGGTTGACCTAAGGTTTAACGTTGCTTTACTCAATGACTTGACACAACTCAAGGCATAAACTTGACTCGATGTGATTGACTGACTCAAGGTTGACTCGATTCGAAGTGTAATGACATATGTGACTCATGACCCGTGTGTGCATAGTGTTGACTCAATGTGACTCGAAAATGCAAAAAAGCAAAAATTTTCCGTCATTTTTGTGGTGGGTACCGACTTTCTCCCGAAAAAGAAAGACGCGAAAAAGAATCGAAGTTTGAAGATGCATGTTGAATGAGCTTAGTCAAATGTTGTTTGATACTGTCTCTCAAGGTGCAAGGATTAATCCATCCTAGGCTATCTCAACTGTTGACTCCATGATGAAAGTATTTGGGTAACTTAGGCACGGGGGCTAAGTACTTCATACTTAGTGATGCAATGACCATTATGGTTGATGAGTGATGTTGATATGACAAGGCATGCTTCAGCGTTGTGTTAAGATTCCATGACAAAGGGTTCCTAAGGGAAGTATATTTGGTCATGTATGTGTGATGTGTGTGATAGTGACACTAAAGTTAGGCCGCAGGGGCTAAGTGTGTGGGAAGATATTATTGAAAAGAGTCAAATGGTGGTGACTCTTAGGCTAGGTAGGCTAATGATGTAGGGATCAAGCCTCCAAGTCTAGCTCTAAGTGAAAAGGGATGAGCATAGGAGGTCCCTTGTTATGATCATGGTGTAAGTGTGTGAATGTGAATGTGAATGCATTTTTATTACGGCCGCACCTCGATGTGAGGTTGCCTACGTATCCGTTAGGAATCAGGCCGAATGTAGCTCTAGCCGAACCTCGCACAAGTGTGTATACCTCAAAAAGGTCTTTTTAAGGGTTGTAACGTGGTTAGGCTAAAGGCTGAAGAAAAAGGGGATAAAGGCTCAAAACCCTAGATAAGCCCCCAAGGTGTGCAACCTTGCTTTTGAATCTTTGTATTTTTATGCTTGCGGTTTTCTACTCTTGTTTAGCTCTTTCTTTTGCTGTGGCATTTATTTCATTTTAATAAGTGTGGGCAATCCCGATCATGCGGTCTATCACTCACTTGGCATTCATGTTTCTCAGGCACGGTACCGAGCACTCGATAAGAGACGCAATCTGAGACGTGTTCTTATCAAAGACATTTTCATATCAAAGACATTGGAACACTTACCCTTTTGTACACTTTTATTTATTTTTTGCTATTTTTGCTATTTTAATCTTTTGAATTGGTCAAGATTTTTTTAGAATTGCATAAGTTGCACACCATCCCATCCCAAGGTTAGGTAGATGTAGGTTGAAAAAAGAAAGGTCTATCGTTAGACGAGGCTCAAAGTGGTTTATGAAGAAAGGATTGTATATTTGAAGGGTGAAAGGAGATGTGATGTGTCTACAAGGGGTGCCTCAAATCATTGGTATACCTTGTGCTTAGTTTGACATGGATTTTTTTTTAAATGTTTTAATGCAATATTAATGAAATGATCATATGCAAGAAAATAGATGCTCATTTTATTAAAGGAAAATAAAATGGTCCTAAAAAATAAATCTAAGGAGAATAAAAAGGAACCCGTGCTAGACTTATTGGGGAAAGGAAAAAATGAAAAAGAAATAGAAAAAGAGGTCATGAGATCTTGTCGTTGAAGCTCGCCTCTTGTCTTGTGTTGTTTGCTTTATCATCACTCGCTCTTCTTGTAAACTGGAGGTATGGGAAGCTTGTTGTTATCAATCAAATGTTGGATATCTTCCTTTAACTTCCAACAAAACTCAGTAGCATGACCCCTACCTTGATGGTACTTGCAATGTTCGTTTGGATTCCAACTAGGCAATCTTTTCTTAAGTGGGGGATCTTGAATAGGTCCAATGGGAGTAATGATTCCCTTGGCATGGAGTCGGTCGAAAGCAGTATCGTAGCTCATCCCAATGGGGGTGAAGCTTTTCCTTAGTTGCTTCTTAGATCCTTGGTTATCCATGGCTAAAACACCATTATGGTCAAAGGTACTAACATTATTACTAGAGTGGGCGTTTTCGGAAGAAGAAGGATTGTTGTTCTTCTTTCCTTTCCAGCCACCGTGGTTACTATTGTTAGTAGCTTTTTGCTTTGCGAGGTCATCTCCGATCTCGATACCTATGTCATAGACGGCTCTGAAAGTATTCAAGAAAGTTGTGTTGATATTTTAAGTGCTTTGAATACTTTTCTTGGAGATTCTTGATAAACATCCTCATAGACTCCCTTTCGGTGGGGACCTCAATCATCTTGGCGGAAGTTTCCCTCCATTTATTAAAGAAAGAAGTAAAGCCTTCATTCACTAGTAGAAAAAGGCTCATTTGCGTCGCTCATTTATAGTGTATTTGCGTCGATTCTATGAGCGACACAACTGCTCGCAACGCAAATGATTTAAAAGTCATTTGCGTCGCTCCTAGGCGTGACGCAAATAAGAGTCATTTGCGTCGCTCCTTTATAAAGGAGCGACGCAAATGACTCTTCTGATAAACTTCTTTTTTGTTATTTGCGTCGCTCCGTTATAAAGGAGCGACGCAAATGACTCTTATTTGCGTCACTCCTTTATAAAAGAGGGACGCAAATGACTCTTCTGATAAAAATCTTTTTTGTTATTTGCGTCACTCCTATATAAAGGAGCGACGCAAATGGCTCTTCTGATAAACTTCTTGTTTGTTATTTGCGTCACTTGTTTATATAGGAGTGACACAAATGACTGACTAGACAATACAAAATTGCTGTATTTGCGTCACTTGTTTGTTTAATGAGTGACGCAAATGAGGTGATTTTTTTTTTAATTATAATAATTGCCTTGTATATGTTTGTAGTACCTGTTTTCCTCACTAGTGGTATAAAGTAATATGCTAACGCTAATATAATTGAAATTAAAATGCAATATTATTGAATAATGCAAATGTAAATTTTGGCAGAGTCTCCTTTGTAATTTGGCCTACCCATAAAATTGGGAATGACGACATTATATTAACAACCTGTCCAATAATTTACATCTCAATATCATAGACATTATACTCATCATCCCAACACCAATTAACCAAATTTCATTTCAAGCCTATAATCCAAAACAAGAGTCCAACATGCGCTAAGTTTACAACAAAACAATATTGACCTCTTCATCATTAATTAATAAGTATAACACAAGCACCAAACCAACCCAAATGTTGGTAAATCAAATGCGTTCATTTCAAGCCTAAGAACTATAACAAAATAATCCAATAAATAATATGGAATTTGAAGCCAGCGTAATTCAATTTAGGGACAAAATCTTCATTTTCCCTAACACGATCGAACAAGTCCATAATGGAAATCCACTTCCTTTTTCTCTTGCAAACAGTTTAAATAAAGTCACCAGTTCCTGATATCAAATACAATTAATCAATAAACAATCAGAGTTGAGAATGAAGGATCAAAGCAACAAAATAATATTCTACAATTATTTAAACAACTACATTACCTTTCCAAGAAAATACTAATAGTTGTTCCTCTAATTAAGTATACTAGCAGAGGAATAAAGGATTGATGCCAATTATTTGCAAAACCTCTTAATACAAAAACCAAGAATGGCATTTATACGATTCGATCAGGATTTTCTTAATACAAAAACCAAGAGGGCCACCAAAATTAAGGCATTTTCTTTGGAGTGTCGTGAAGGGGAATATGGCAGTGAAAGATCGACTAAGGTATCGTCACATTACAACTGACGCTACTTACCAATTATGTGGTGTGAATGAAACAATTTATCACACTCTATTTGAGTGTGTTGTTGCAAAGGAAATTTGGCATTACAGTGAGTACAAAACCAACCTGGAAGATGCGCCAAATGATAATTTCGCAGAGCTATGGTTATGCTTTGTAAGAAATATGATGCAGAAGTAGTTTGTTCTATGGCCGCACTGATGTGGGCTGCTTGGAGAGGGAGGAATTTAATCATGTTTCAAGGTGAGAATCCGAATAGTGTGCTGCTGGCTGCGGGGTTTGCAAGGATAGTTCATGATTACAATGGCTATGCTAAAAAGGTTCTGCTGCCCCCCCCCTGTTCTGAGACAAAATGATGCTGCTACAAGCTGGAAGAAACCGTGCCTTGGGTGTGTTAAAGAAAACTCAGATGCTCATATTCTTGAGGGGTGTAAGGCAAGGCTAGGAGTGGTCGTTTATTTTTAACAAAACGGCCTGGTAAAATTATTTCAATACAAACACTATGTCATAGTTTATCTTTTCACGGCCAAGTATATCATGGAACATTTTTTAGCTAAAAAAAATGGGAAAGGGCTTCTCTTAGTAGTATCAGGGGAAAAATCAACCAGAATGAGCAGCAAAACATAAAAATTAAAAAAAAAAATAATAAAAAAACAGTCAGATTTAAAAAACTGTAAAATGAGCAGCAAAACATAAAAGAAAATACAGTCAGATTGGAGAAAAATCAATAAAATAGTAAAATCAAAATTCACCAAATCAACTACATAAATTCACCAAAACAGAACCAAAATAGTGAAATCAACTACATAAATTCACCAAAGCAGAACCAAAATTCCTTAGAATCGAGTATAAATCCTATATTTGATGAACCCTAAATTCGAATATGAACCCTAAATTCGAATATGAACCCCAAAAAGCTGTTATTTATAAGCATGCTTGTAAAACTAGAATTCGTGCAAAAAACAACAAAATAGGTAGATTAAACTAAGTTAATTTACAATTGAATCTAAATATCTATGTAGATTGAAGTGCATGATAAAAAAGAAAAGAGATGAAGAGGTCTTACCTTGCTTGAAATCGATTTTGCATATGCAACTTCAGCAACAATAGAGCCAAAATTCCATATTATTAAGTACAAACCCTAACTTTTAATTGTTATTTTGCTCAAATTTAATTAAGGTAATTTGCTCGATTTTTGCAATTGAATTTAGTGGGGATTTTGGGTAGATTTTTTGCAAGAAAGTAGGGGATTTTTGCTCGGATTTGCTCGAATATAAGGGGTTTTGCCTCACATTTGCTGGGATTTTTTATTAGTGGTCAAATTGGTAGGTTATGAAGACGAATTTCTCGAGGTATTACTCTTAATTCGCTGACGTTTAGGGGGTTGAACAGCAGCAAAGTAGCAATGGGGAATTCAGGGGTTTTACCGATCAATTTTTTGGGGTTTTGATGTTGAATTTCTGGGAATTTTGGGGTTGAATTTTCTAGGGTTTGGAGTATTGAAGTTCGAACAGCAGAAGGCAGCGAGAATTAATATAAGTCGTAATGGTCATTTGCGTCATTCAGTAAAGAAAGAAATGACGCAATTGACTCACAAAGGTTATTTGCGTCACTTGTCAATAAACGAGTGACGCAAATAACATTGTTATATGCGTCGCTCCTACTTATAAAAGCGACGTAAATATAAATAAGTTGAAATATGTTTGACATTTGCGTCGCTTTATAACAAATGCTCGATGCAAATTACTTATAAGGTTGTCAAAATATCTTATTTGCGTCATTTGTTTCTATGAGTGACGCAAATAAGGCGACGCAAATGAGCATTTTTCTACTAGTGATTCTCTTTTTGTCTTAGCATCTCAAGTTTTCTATGGTCGGTTTCAACTTGGATATTGCACTTGTACCTATCAACGAAAGCGTTCACTATCGATTCTCAGGTAGAGGTTTTCTCCTTGTCAAGGGAGAATAACCATTGTTGGCAAACAGTTTCAAGAGATAGTGAGAATAGAGAGGGGAAAACCTTCTTATCGATACCCTTAATGTTCATTATAGTTTCAAAAGATCTTAGATGGAAGTAAGGGTTATCTGTTGCCTTGAATTTAGGGATGTAAGTGGCGTTGAACTTATGTGGAAGAAGTTCCTTGTCCAGCGAGACCCCTTGTGAACTCATGCCCTGAAATTTATAGTCACTAGATAGCTTGCTCAAACTCTCTTGCATGAGGTTCATCTGTTGTTGCTTCACGGGATCATTGATCTTGAGTGTGAGTAGATTTAGTGTCTCAGTTACGGTAACCAGTTGGTTCTTGAGCTCATTGACTTCCTGTTGAGTTGCCATTATCTTCTTAGCCTTCCTCTTTTGTCGAATCGGTTTATCAAAAAGTGATACTTGAATAAAGAGGTTATCCTTGATTAATCGCCCTTCTCTCCTCGACCAAGTACTGTGGAAAAGGAATTTGGGAATATTCATTGTTAATTATTTGACTCAAACTTTATTCAACATGCAATGGAAGGAGGAAGTGAAGAAAGATTGAAATAGAATGTGAAGGAAAAAGATGTAGATGGAGGGGATGGAAAATTAGGAATAGAATGTACCCCCCAACTCAAATGACGAAAAAGACCAACTCATGCATGAACCTAAGACATGGACAGGGTGACATGTACTCAAAGTGTGTGCCAAGACTAGTGAGTGTAGGTGATATGTTTGGGCTCTTGTGTAAGACCATGGGACTTAGTGCCTAAACTCGATTAATGACTCAACCAAGTACTATTGACGGTAAAACTTAACCGAATTAATTATCAAACTGATTAATTATATACTAGGTGATGACTCGACCAATAATCCGAACTGTCGGCCAAACGACAGAACTGGCGTCACATTGTGTAGCTTGGCGCCAGACGACATAGTTGTCGCCAGGCGCCACACTCCACAGTGTGGCGCTACAGCTCAGACTTTGGCGCCAATATTGGAGCTTCAGTCTAGGACTGTTTTCGGTGTTATTAATCAACTAGGGTATGCCTAAAGTCGTACTAGGTCAATTCCAATTAAAATATTAGACTTTATTTACTCAAATTAATTAGGCAAAGTTTCTTAAGTCATTAATTTATTTAATCTCAACACAAGTCAAATAAACGGTTAAGAGAAACATAGAATATATGCACAACAAATAATGCACAATTAGTCAAGTAGGCACAATATGATGCAATGAGTTTGCAACCTAACCATGGCTCTAGTTCTCTAAAGTTCAGGATATGGTTTAGTCAATAGAGGGTCAATGGTTAATTGTCCGGATGCACCGCGCGGAAGCCTAACCGTGAAGGGTTAGCGCGAGTGGATGGGACACCGCGAGCTTTAGAAAAAACTCGCTTCCATGGTTTGGTAATTCAACATCTCGGATGTACCCTTTGTTGCACGGAGCGTTCAATCAGGTAGATGGAGCATGAACTCCCAGAGGGTTATGTCCATATGTAGAACACATATGGGTTTCTGAAAAGTGAGAAAAAATTCAATCAGGAAGTAGGATCGAGCAAACAATACAAAAAACCGGTCGAAATTAGAACGCATATTTCTGGCTCGGTATTGGGGGAAATTGGCGCCAGCAATCAGAGACTGGTGCCAGCTTTTAACTGTAGCGCCTGGCGCCAATACTGGCGTCTGGCGCTACGACTAAAATGCTGGCGCCAAGCTCTGGCCTCTGGCGCTACTTCCCACATGCCTCAGCAGCTGTCTGTGCTCGATAAAAATTTTCGATTTCACGCGGTGTTATTTCGGTCCTAGTTATGAAAGATATTTCTCAAATTTCCTACGTGTAAAATCCTATGTTTTTAACTCATTACGGATGGTCTTTCCAATGAGATCTTTTTTATGCATATGATAATAATGTTAATCAAAATTACGCACATGAAATACTTAGAACGTTTCGAGTCTCATCCACTCATTCTAAATCATTGCCGAAACAAATTCAGGAATTAAAATAGAAATCCTCCCCAGTGGAGTCGCCAAAAACTGTGGGGAATAAATTTCAAGCGTTAATCCCCTTGCTTGAACCCCACTGTGATCATACACTAAAGTACGGTGGCGTCCAAAAGGGAAGAAGATGGAGCAAAAAAGTCGCCAACAAGTTTTAGGAACTTGTAAACCGTTCACAGGGTGAAGGTTACACCCCTTAACGATCCAAGAGATCGTCAACTCCATAAGGTCTAGAACCAAATAAGGGTTCGGGGATGAAGATACAAATCCAACCTAAAAGAGATTGAACCTGCCCTAATAATAGGCCTCTACTTTATTCTGATCGTATTCATGTGCGCTTTTTAATTAACATGCAATCAATAGGATTAACCCTAAACCTGTTTAATCTATGTTGGTTGAATATTAATGCACAAATAAAACTATTATTGGCGATCACTTGAATTATAATCAAAATTAACCCTAAACAAGATTATTAATTATCTTATTAAGCGTAATTACAAGTATCAATTCCTTTAAATATGCACAAAAAGGCGTGATCAAGCAATAATAATAAAATCAAGCAACATAATAAATTATCAATAAATAATAATTATAATAATCATATCAACATTAAAGCATAATAATAGCAAGATCCTAGGCATGATACTAACAAGATTAATAACAAACCCTAGCATGTCACTAAGCAATAAAAATCAAAATTTTAATCCTAACATGATACTAACAATCATAAATATTAAGAAGAACATAGGAAGAATCGCAACAATCATACTTAATATTAAAATTACCCTAGACATGATACTAGGAATATCATAATAACAATGTAAACATGATTTCTACATCATAACATCAATTAAAACCATTAAAGCACTTACTTTGATGCTTTGTACCTCTTTCTAATAACAAAATACACACGTTAGTAACTTCAAGGAAAATAATAATTAAAACAATCAAATTAAATAATTGAAATAGAGATTTGGGACCAAACCCTCAGAAATTAAAACCTTTCACGTCTAGGGCGAAGGCAACTTCGAATATGGCTAGGTGTATCTAGATCTTGCGAATGCGGAATTTTGTATGTGAAAAGCAATTTTAGAGAAGAGAGAGAGAAAGATGATGAATTGATTAAAGAGAATGAGAATTGAAAACTGATTGTAGGTGTTTATAATTGAAAACTGATTGTTGATGAGAATTCGTGAATGAAAACGGAGTTTTTAATACGTTATTTATAGAGAAATCAGCCAAAAAGATAAAATATCAAAACAGAGCACTTGGCGCATGCAAAACAGAGCTGGCGCCAGCACCAGCTAATTGGCGCCAGGCGCCAATGGCTGGCGCCAGGCCTGTTTTTGACGCGTTTTCAAAAATCAGATAAGTTTGCCGTACTGGAGGATAAAATCGTATATTTTCCTCAAAAATGCTATTTGATTTTAATTAAAACTCTGAAAAGTCAACAAAAGTCAATTTATCAATGCTAATTGAATTAGGAATGAAAAGAAACTTCTAGAAGAATCTAGAAGACTAAAACCATTCCTAATTGCATTAGGAATGATAAATCATATTAGGCCCTCCTCTAGATCATTGGGCCGCATATAAAGCTCAAATCGGGCCCAGTTTAGTAAATTGGCCACATATAACTTCCTCAATATTCATCGGAATTGAGCTTATAATATATCGTTGGAAATCTCTTTGCAAGCCCCATCCAACTACACTACTATCGGACCCATATCATGGACCAACCACACTGGATTGGCTGTTTTCTTAAAATAAGTTTTCAAAAACAGAGAGAAGAGAAAAGAAATTAAAACTATCCGCAACACTAGACTTTCCACACTTTTGCTTCATTCGATTACGATTCGACGTGAAAGGTACTCATCACCGGGTTTGGTTTTTGGGGAGACACAAATGGGTGTCTACATAATGTCAATGCTTTGATTGTGGCCAATGAGTTGTGTGAAGATATGAGGAGATTGAACCTTGAGGTTATCAACAAAGGAGAGTTAGAGGGATTACTAGGTGCTTTAACCATCCAACCTTCCATATTTGAGGAGATTAAAGAAAAGCAACTGGAGGATGAGTCGTTTCAGAAGATTAGGGATCGTGTGACTAGTGGTGCGGAGACTGAATTCAAGATTCATGAGGATGGGAGCTTGAGATACATTGAGAGATGGTGCATACCACAGAAGTGTGAGGATATTAAAAGGAAAATCATGGAGGAGTGCCATAATACACCATATTTAGTTCACCCTAGGGGCGATAAGTTGTATAAGGATTTGAAGGAGTTATATTGGTGGCCGAATATGAAGAGAGAAGTGGCTGAGTTTGTATCCAAATGTCTGACATGCCAGAAAGTGAAGATAGACCACAAAAGACCCATGGGAAAGGTACAACCATTAGAAATACCAGGTTGGAAGTGGGATTCCATATCCATGGACTTTGTGACAGACTTACCAAAGACTCGTACTGGGAATGACACGATTTGGGTGATTGTAGACAAACTTACTAAGTCAGCGATGTTCATTCCTATCAAAGAAACCTAGAAAAGGAAGCAGCTAGCAAGCGTCTATGTGAAGAATGTAGTTCGGTTGCACGGAGTTCCCAAGGAAATAGTGTCAGATAGAGACTCGAGGTTTCTATCAAAGTTTTGGCAAAAAGTGCAAGAGAACCTTGGGACAGCATTGAAGATGAGTACTGCCTTTCACCCTGCAACAGATGGTCAGATTGAGAGAACAAACCAAACCATGGAGGACATGTTGCGAGCTTGTGCTTTAGATTTCCAAGGAAATTGGGAGGATCACCTACCTTTAATCGAATTCTCCTACAATAACAGTTACCATGCAAGCATCAAGATGGCACCTTTTGAAGCATTGTACGGAAGGAAGTGCAGAAGCCCAGTTTGCTAGAGTGATTACAGTGAACGGGTTACTTTGGGTACATATTTCATTGAGGATATGGTGGGCAAGGTGAGACTAATCCAGTCGCGTATCAAGGTAGCACAAGATAGACAATAGAGTTATGCTGACTTGAAGAGGAGAGATGATGAGTTTAGTGTTGGGGACAAAGTATTTTTAAAGGTTTCTCCAACAAAAGGTGTGATGCGATTCGGCAAGAAAGGGAAGCTTAGTGCAAAATATGTGGGTCCGTATGAAATTCTCCAACGTGTGGGGAAAGTGGCTTACAAATTGGCCTTGCCAATGGGGTTCGAGAAAATGCATGATGTATTCCACATTTCCCAACTGAAAAAGTATCTGCCTAGTGAAACCCATGTTTTGTAGCCGGAGACTATTCAACTAGATGAGTCTCTAACTTATGAAGAAAGACCAGTCAAGATACTAGGTCACAAGGTGCGTAGTACTAGAAACAAAGATGTGAAGATAGTGAAAGTCCTTTGGTCAAACCAGGAGTACGAAGAGGCTACTTGGGAGGCCGAGGAAGAGATGAAAAACAAATATCCCGAGTTGTTTGAAGAGGTGAGTTACGAGGGCGTAACTCTTTTCTTTTGTGGGGGGAAAAATGCGATGTAATTTCGTGCTTTTACCTCAATTATACCATTTATTGCTTGATTTTGCACGTTTTTTCATGTTTTGGTTATCATTATTCATCATTATTGCGTTTACATGCAATAAAAGTATGTAAAATTTGGCCAAATATGAGTTCATTGAGTATAAATCGTTAAGAAGCAAGCAATTTACAGCAATAAAAAACGCATAAGTTTGAATACTTTTGAGGAACTATGGATTTTGGGTAAAGTTTCGAGGGCGAAACTTCTTTTAAGAGGGGTAGATTGTAATCCCCCATATTTTTTTTAACTTAATTATAATATATTTATATATTATTCTTACAAATATTTTTATGTCAGTTTCATTAAATAAGTTATTTTTTATGAAAAGATTTAAGTAAACTAACATGTTTTAATTTACAAACAATTTTAACATTATAGCCCAAAACCCAAATATTACTCCTAATCTAATTAGGAAACCCAAAGCCCAAATAAAACCCTCAAAAGACCCTTACCCTTCTTTTCTCTCTCACGTAAAAAAAAAAGAGGAGCTTTCACTCCCTTCCTTCTCCTTCATTCACGAGCAGCTAACAAGAAGAAGAAAAAAAAAAAACCCGAAGCTTCAGATGCCGCCGCCCCTGCCGCCGCGCCCGCCTGACCGCCGCCCGTCTAACCGCCGCGCCGCCTAGCCCAGCCGACCACTGCAGTTCGTCTCTCCTCTCTTCTCCTTCCTCATATTTCTCTTTTCTTTATTTCTTGTTATTTTGATTTAAAGATTCAATTTTTATTTGATTTCAACTATAAATTATTGTTATTAGGCTTTAATAGTATGTATAAATTACAAAAGATTATAAATTTATGGGTTTTGTATGTCTAAATTATTAAATAAAATTTCAGATTATGTATTTTGTATATTTTAGGGTTTAAAGCATTGATTTTTCATGTTTTAGGGCTTGATAACGTGTTAATCAAACTATCTAATCATACTATGTTTAAATTACATTAAAGTATAATTATCTTAATCATAAATAAATTTTCAGATTTATTAAAGTTTCAATTTTTATGAACAAGTAGTGTTAATTTCATGTTTTTATGCTTCTAAACCTATAAAATAATTATTGTGAGTATTTTGTGATTGAAAAAGGTTTGAACTTTATAATCTAACTTTAAAAATAATTTTCAGATTTCATACCTTTTATTTTGAAGCCTCTAGTTGCATTGAATTGATATATTCTTGGGTTTTTAACACACTAATTTGCTATATAATGACTAATTCAAGTAATTATGCTTATGGGGTTATTTTATATATTTAAAACAAATTTCCAGATTTATTTACCCACTTTAAAGTTGCTGTAATTTGATATAAAACACTATATTTTCATAATTCTTACATATAAACTTAAAGTTGGGATGTTATATTACTAACTTTGATTTTTGGGGACAATTTAAAGGCTTTATTTTGGTGATTTAAGAGGTTTTAAAGTAGTTTAGTATTGCAGTAATTTTAATTGCTTTGGTATTGATTTATTTCTAATTGTTTGGTTTAGGAGAGGACTTTGTAGAAGGCGACTTCTAGTTTTAAAGTGGCCAGCCGGATTGTTTACACAAGGTACGTACAAGATACGAAACCTTGCTTGTAGGTGCATGTTTAAGGACGGATCGAGAACTTAGTATCATGTATAGGATTGACTGGGTTAAATTGTCTGGTTATACATTGTGAATTTCAAATGATGTGCACTAGTTTATAATGCAAGTATTATTTGTGCTTTAATTATGCAAGGTGCGCTTAAAGGCAAAGGTATGTGATTGGTGTAAAGATCAAATTATTACTCGTTCATGATTATGTAAACAGGATGAGTAAAGGAGAAATTCAAGTCTTGTAAGACGAGGTTAAGGTTTTGGGGTGCCTTATGCACTCAAGGTGTTTATACACCGAGGTAGTAATGGAATAATTAATAAATGTTGTTTGTCACTAATAAATCAAGAATCTAAATTGAGAATTTGCCATGTTTGATTGAATTGCTTTTTGGATTGATTGTATTGTTATGCATATGAGTCATCACCAAGTCTAAACCTGTAAATCACGTAAAGTGCAAGATGGATGAGCAATAAAACTCTGGATTGGTGCACTTCTGGAGTAATGACAATCAGGGGTTGGGGTACATGGGGTATTAGCCGTGTATTTTTCTCGAGGCCGTCTGATCTACGAGTCTCTTATTTCAAATATTTTTCAAAACTAGGAGTTAGGTGAGATCTCATACTAACTACGGTCACGGAGTCGCGCCCGTGGTCATTGGATGTTTATTAATTGATGTTTCCGAAAGGAGGCATGAGGTTTTTCTTTATTGATGTTCCAAATGGGACATGGGTTGGACAACCTTGTCTATTGCTAAATCTAATGAAATAAATAAATGAGTCAGTTAATATTAATTAGTGAGGTCTTAACAAATTTAATAATCGAGTCATGAACTGAGTCTATATTTAATGATGCTTGTGCTTGAATATTAGTAGCATGTTAGGTATTTTCTTAATTTGTTTTCGCAGCTTGTATGTACTCAGCGTTGCTGACTGCGTGCTTTTGTGTGTGACTTTGTTTGGTCATGGCCTTCGCCTTTCAATGACCCTGTGACGATCCAATTTTTACACTTGTAATATTGGGGAGCAGAATAACCACAGGTTCTTACACATGCAGCATTCATTAGGGTTGTAGGATCTTGAGTAGAGAGTTGGTTGTTTGCATATTAATTCTTTTGCAAGTTTGAATTTATTTTAATTCGATTTTAGTTGCACTAATTCTTTTGTGTTTGAATTTATTTGAACACTAAATTTAATCACTTACTACTTTTATTGGGTTTTGAATAAGGGCCTTAATGGTTCCAACTTGTAATACTTGTTTTGATTTAACTCCTTTGTTTTGAGATTTATTTAAAACTGTTTTGGTTTTCCGCTGCAAATTTCTGAGATAGCCTTAACGTTTGAACACGTGGCAGTAGCACACCAGTAATTCTCTTGAAATTGTTCAGGTTATATACAGGTTTCTAACAGGTTTTTAAGAGAGAATTACTGGGGTGTTATATTAAGGGCAGTCACAACAACTAATCACCCAGCTTTAAGTGATAATCACAAAGTTGCAAGGTTAAAAGGGGTGTGCATCATATCAATCCAGTACCAAGTGAAGGGGACCCATCATTTATGGACATGCAACATCAAATTCTCATTGATGAAAAGTGGTTCTACTTGAACCTAGAGACAAGGACCTTTTACCTAACACCTAATGAAGAGGTACCTTACAGAGCACAACAATCAAAGAAGTAACTAGGGTTTAAGAAGAGAAACTGGAGAATTCTCTAGAAAAAAGGATTTCTGGGCAGCATGATTGAGGTGAATTGAATGAAGAACATTCAATGGGGTAGTTGAGGAGATGAGAGAAATCTGTTGAATTTAGATGGAACTAGAGTGTACCCGAGCAAAATGCACGGGATATATAAGAAAAAAAAATATTATTAAAGAAAAAATATATTTAAAATGTGGAAAGTTGATTTTGATGTTGTAATTTAGACTTGAGCTGTAATGGTTGATTTTGGATTGGTCGGTTCTGTTGAACCCTAATTAGCTCTGTTGTACTGAGTATTAATAATAATCGTATTAATAATGTGCTGACACCTTATGTGCTATATTGAAATATGATATTCTAAGCAAAGCTTAGAAGCTCAAAAAACAGGGTCTTACTCTTTTATGTCGGTGGCCACACAATGCTATTATGGGGTTTACTTTTTCAAAGTTATAAAGGTTACCCATTCAGTGTTATAGGGGTTACTCGTGTTACTCAGTTAGTGTCATATGGGTTAGCGTCTTGCTGTAGGAGTTACATACTTTGTTCTGTTGCAAGTAGTTATTCGCTGAGGCCAGTTGCACAAAAACGTGTTGTACATTTTCCTTTTGGTTTTGATGATTAAAGAAATGGAAAATGTTTGGAGGGTAATCCCTAAAAAAAATGCATATAATTAAAGGGTTGGGGATTTAGAGTACTGTAATTGAAGGGTCGGGGATTTAGAGTACATTTTTTTTTATATGTTATACTGCGTACCAAAAAAAAAACACACACACACATAAAGTGACATGTTAGTAGTAGTCCCATAAAAAAAAAAAAAAAAAAAAGAAAAAGAAAGGGTGAATGAGTAGTTATTTATTTTTGTTTTTATTTTTTTTTAAATGATAAAGAAAATAAAATAAAGTAGTGGGATTGGTAGTTATTTTTTCCTTTATAAAAAAAAAAATCTCAAATGCATGAGAGTTGAGGATTGGGGATTTGGAGGGCTCTTGTTAAATGACTCTACAATTATAATATAGATGTGATTAGTTTTTGGTGAGAATGGTTAGATTAGGGTTAGGTTATGATAATTAGATTAGAATGTAAGTGTAGTGTTTTGTTATTAATTAATTTGAGTTAAAAATATAAGTAAGGGTAAAGTTGTTATTTTAACCTAAAAAACTTACTAAAAATGGAAAAAAATTGTTGCAAGTAATGTGTAACGGCTCAAAAAGGAAATTGTTGCAAGTAATCCGTAACGGAGGGAGTGCATATATTGTCTATAACATAAAGGTCGATAAAGAATATTATAATTATTTATTGCAATCCATAATCCTATGATAGATAAATTGACGTATTTTGATTGTGTTTATCTTATACTCCAACACTAGTAAAACATGGCATGGAAATTCTTAGTCTATTCATAGTATATTTTATCTTAAATAAACCTTGGTTTCAAAAAATTTTAAGCACCAACTATTTCATTCATTAAAGACTTAAGATTATGTTACTCAGACCCGATATTTCATATGAAATTCACCATTCACATGTGTTTTCAATGGTTAAACTTAAATATTTCCCATGTTATAGTTCAAACCTATGCAAGTATTGCTATTATCCGTAGCTACGACTATATCCTATACTCCTAAACCTAATTATCCATGTCAAAATGTCGAGGATCTAACACCGAGCAAAATAAAATTATACCCATGTCAAAATGTAGAGGATCCAACACCGAGAATCCGACTAGGGTAGTGGTTCATCATGCCTTCTGATTCTACTATCAATGTGCTAGAAAACATGCAAATCCTGAACTTGAAATCACATTTGTTATGTATGCATGTTAAGTTCTGTTGCTTTAAAAACTTCAAACATACCCAGTTTTCTGCGAATTCTTGTGTTCTCAAACGGTACTATGATGCTTCTCTTCTCTGCGGCGCCAAAATTAGTTATGGGCAATCTTTCCCATGTCCAATATGGCGGTTTCTTTTGGTAATTTTTAATCTTTATTTTTTATTTATATTTTCATGAACAATGTTTATTTTCTAGTAATGTATAATCTGTGTTGCTATTAATTGCAATATTATGTTTTTATTATGATCTTCAGTTTTGGTTTAGATTTAAGAAATATTGGAATTATTTGTGGGGTAATTGCATTTGGATTTTCAATAGCATGAACTTTTGAAATTGTGGGTGAGAATAGGTTTTGAGGTATTCTTATTGGAGTAGTGAATCAATTGTTTCTAAATTTGGGGATTGGTAGTTTTTGTGTTAGGATTTGGGACTTTTCAGAGATCATATGATGTTGATAGATGTGTAATTGCCGGAGAAGTTTTGGTAGGGATACTTTCGTAGCGATACGAACAATTTGATTCTCGGTTGGGCTTATTTTCCCTTGAGGGAAACCCTTTTGAATGAAGAATTTTGAATTTTACCATAAGAGTCACACGACGGGGAGCTTTCGTGAGGCTTTTGATTTTGGATTCCACAGTTTGTGATCAAATGGGCAATCTTTGTTAGATAGCTTTTCCGACATGAACATGAAGTTTTATGCATATCACATGGGAACTACAGATTGATCAATCAAGTCTATCATTTTTGGGAATTCAACAAACTTTAGGGAAAGGGTTGATGTTTAGAACTTAAATCGTTTAAAAAAAAACTTTGAATTTTTATCTTCATTGAAGCTGGCAATTTCCTCCTTGTTTGTGGAGTTTGTGGTGAAAGCGAGAATGACTTCAATAATAATACTAAGTTCATGAAGGTGGCAACTTGGATGTAATGATGGATAAGTTTGTTGCCATTTTATTTGGAGATTTCCCAGTTTTTGTAACTAGTTTGCGTGGGTAGCTGTTGATGTAGGGTAAATTATCCAATAACTCTAGATAGAGATTTCATTAGACAACATTTTGAGGTTATTCTAGCATTCAACACTGACTATGTCGGTGATTGCGAGTTTATTTCTTGTAGAGACACTCGGTTATGAATTAGCTCAGATTAACTACCAATACGATATTAGGGCCAAAAAGAAGAGATTAAGGACTGAGAGAGATTAAAGGAAGAGAAGAGATTAGGGGAAAACAAGTAAAGATATGAATGATATGGTGTCGGATCACCAATTGCATTCCTGGCAATCTTTCGAGAGGAATGACAATCTCCCAAGACTACAGAATAATGACTCAACACAACATTCAACACAATTCCATATTTCCATCTATCTCCAATCTGCTCTATTTATAGAGCTGTCCCTCTCACTAACTAGCTTATTACCCAATCCACTGGATCATAATGCAACTACCTAAATTGGCCCTCCCTCCAATATCAATTCATAGGACTCTCTCAAAAGTCAAAAAAAAAAAAAAAAAAAAAAAAAATCTCATTTTGGGCGCGACAGCGTCTGCCAGATGTTTTGGACTCTTTTTAGTCAATCTTTCAATGATGATAGCTTATCACTGGTGATGTAATGCTGATTCTTAATCTTAGTTATTTTTATTAACCTCTCATACATTTTCTTCCTCATTGTCATTCATTTCCCATGTCCAACCTCTATGGAAGTTTAAACTTTTAAGATGAAACCTTTAACCTGATTTTTTGTTTTTGTTTTTTATTTTTTTGTTTTTATTTTTTTAATTTTTTGTTTTGTTTTCTGTGGAGTGATGTACGTAACCCTACTAAGGGTCTGTTCTCATACGTTGAAATTCAATTCAATTCAGCTCAGTTCAGCTCCTAATTTCCTTCTCTTATAAAATATTCATTTCAGTTCAGTTCAGCTCTGCTGAGTTCAGTCAATGAGAACAGGCCCTAAGTTTATTTCCCGAAGACTGTCCTAGATAGACACTTAACTTATTTTAACCTTCACTTTAAAAGTAAACTGAAATTGTTCTCTCCTTGGATGTTATAGGTTGCTCTCCTTAACTATGATGGAGGTTGTTAGGAGTAAGTCGGGATCATTAGTTTTCCTGCTACTATTGTGGATCTCCTACTGAGTAAACATGTAGCTTTTTCTGTGGGGGAAGTATTTTCTGTTGTAGATGTCTCCTGCTTTCCCAGTTATTGTTTGGGTGTCTCTACTTGGAGTGTAACACTTTAGTTTTCAAGGTTAGGCTCTAAATTGATAAATGCCTCTATTCTTGAGTGATTTATTGTTTTTTATTGGCATTTGGTGATACTGAACTACTGATAAATCAGTAATTGATGTATCAGGAGTGTCAGTAATTGATCATCGAGAGTGCACACTGGCTGATGCATCTGTTTCTCATGACTCTCTGAAAATATCGTTTAAGAAAAAGATTTAATGTTTGATTTGTGACATAAGCATTTGATGCTGCTGACATGTTAGTTTCCAACGTTTGTTTTCTCTGTTAATCTACTGCAGTTGTGTTATCAAATGGAATATTTTCCATTTTGGATGATGAAATCAGAAGATGCTGCCTTTGTACTACTATTATTTCACACAAATTAGATTGCTGGTTCACAATATTTTTTACCTGAAGGAATTGATCTGGTATGTCACCCGGTTTTTAGAAGCCAGAACATTTTTGGCTGCTGATTTTTTTTTTCCTTTCTAATTTATATTATGGTGGTTGATTTGATATCATTGTAGGTGGATGAAATCAGGGGAAGGAGGAAGAGAAAGATGCCTATAATTTTAATTGGTATTTTTCATGTACTGCATATGTGTCTCTGATTTTGTTAATAATCTTTTTTTATTCCTTTGGCTGTGTAATAAATCATGCAGTGGATGCATGATGAATTAATCTAATTGTTTGCTGGATTAATCCAAAGAGGATTTTTTCTAGGAATGCTTGAAAGTCATATCAGTAAACATGATTGAAAATGAATTCAGAACAACGATGTAAAGAATTGCTAGAGTAATTGCTAATATTTGCAGAAAAGTGTGTTGAAATATCATTTTGGTTAGAAGGTTACTTAAGGGATTCAAATCACATTACAATAAGAATGACTTTAGTGATTGCAAGATAAGATACCAACCCTCACCAGTTCAACAAATGGCCAAGGGCCAGAGTTCTCAGGTTCTTGCATATAGTAATTTTTTATGATCTGAAACATGATCAATTGTTATCAGCTAAGGTGTTATATGTAAGCCAGTACATACCACTTTTTCAGCTTAACAAACCAATATTGAATATTATTTATTGGTTTATAAATGGTTGATATTGACAAATTTGATTGATGACTGACTCATTCATGTCATGTTATTCACGCTCCTTTTGAGCGATATTGCGATAAAGTAGTGCTTTGTGATGCATTAATGCTACCTTGGTCACATTTGCAACCACAATCTCAAAACCTAGGGCTGAGCTGGTGATTGTAAAAGTAGTATCACATATTTTCCCATAGGTTTCCGTTATTTCCACTTAAGGTTAAGTAGTAGTATCTTCTATTAGTGTAAACATAATCATGGAGCTAATTGCATACCATATAAAGCCATTGGCTGTCAATTTTGTCCTTACCTTTGCTTAGACAGCCCCTCCCCCTCTTTCACGCAGTTTTTATGTTATATTTGAAAAATCATGATTCTTTCCATAAATGCTTTGTCATTATTGGAACTTCCTTTACATTGAGGCTTTGATAAGTGGGTGAAATCTGTATTTGCATTCTGCTCATTCTTTTGTTGGTTCTCCCCCTTTGTTTTGTGTGTAATTTTTTTCCCTTCTGCAAATTTGATGGCTCCAAAAGGCGATACATGCAGTTTCTGTCACCAATTTACGAGTACACCTCGAAAAGGATGGCGTTTAAGGAATTTTACCTACACAAAGCTTTGTGGTTCTTGCTTGTAAGATTTAGTCTTGAATACTGGAATCTAACCTTATGAATTTTTGTAATTGTTTATATTTCTTCAAGTTGTGAATTTTTTATTTGAATTTTTTGTTTTTCTGCTAGATCGCTCAATTAAGGCTTTGAGATTGATTGCTAGATCGCTCAATTAGGTTTTATCTTTTTACAATTAAGTTAATCATCTGCATCTGAGATTTTATCCTTGTCATTTCTTTTCTCTCTTATCTCTGTTCTATTTGTTGATCTCCACATAACTCGTACTTTTAATATCCATATAGTGGTTTTGCTGGTTTTCATATGCAATTTTCATCCATAGCACCTCATTTAGTTTAGTTTTATTTTATTTATTTTTAATCTATATATCTAGGAGGTCATGTTTTCTTGTATTGCATGTATCTTGTTTTGTTTATAGATAAAGGGTTTGCTGGAGATTTTTGCCATGGATTGTTAAAATTTACTGGAGAGGTAAAAGAAATTCTGCAAGGAAGTGTAAGTGATATACGTGGAGAGTTTAGTTTTTTTGTTGAAGAAAAGAAGCAATGCAGGAAGCACTGCTCTCCATCTAGTAAATTTTAGTGCGAATTCCACTTAAATTGTAAACTCAATTGCAATGAAGCTTTAATTAGGATTGATGATTGTATTTGTGAAGTAATGAAAGATGGCAGTTGCCTATATTACGCTGTCACATATATGGTGATGACTGTGATGATGAAAATAATGGAATGTGCTCTCTAGAATGTTTATTGTCTTTTTCCAAGGGATTTGCCGCCACCAGGCTCAAAACCTTTGCTCATTGCTTCTATTGCATAATTAGGCCTTTATAGAAGGATAGTTCTGTAAAAATAAGACAGAAGGGAAGAGGGTGTTTGCACTGTCCATGTAATAAGGTGTCTAGACTATAATCTTCATTTAGGGGCTTCAATTGATCCAACAGGGGCTGGGGGATCAGTTTGTTCTAAAGGGTATAAGATTTAATTGTTGAAGTAGATATTTTACTACCTTTTGAGTGAATTCTTTGGAAGGTAAATAGTAATATCTTGGTGTATCTTCATGTGGTATACGGGAGTAGTATGTTGAAACTCTGTTGTTTTAGGAACAAATAATTTTATGTAAATTTATCTCTGGACATTATTGATATCTTAGTACTTAGTACATACTCTAATTGTTTTAGTGTATGTCAATATGATGCATTTGCGCTTACAACCCGTCAACCCATTGACATGATTTGTCACACGTGAAGAAGAGTGCAATGGCTAATAGCATAATAGGTCCACTGTTTTTGCATGGGCATTATTATTCTAAAGCCTCTATATCTTTGTCATCCTCATTGTTTCCTACTTACTGCAGAGTTAACCATACATTTGAGACCTTAACTATGTATAAGTTTGGCTTTTGGGACCTAAATTCTCTTCTTTTTCTCAGGGTTTTTATTATTATTTTTTAAAAAAAAAAATTTAGGTGTTATTAAGGAAACTCTGAAGTTATTTTTTATTCATCATCCATTAGTTTTTATTATTTTTATTTTCTATTTCTTATTTCCTAAACTATCTCCTCTAAAATATTAACAGGAGAAATTTTTTTTTCTCTCTCTCTCCTTTCATACATACATACATACATATACATACATACATACATACATACATATATATATGTTTCCAGATCGGATGGAATTATCTTGGGACTTAGGCAGAAAGAAGATACATTGGTGATCGTAATTGATTTTATTACTGAGTTTGAATTCAGGGTGGAGTTATGATAACAACTTAGCTTTGCAACTGTATATTTTTTTTACAACAAATTCTTCCTTTTCTTCTGGTATTTTAGACATTTCAACAACAGAATTAGATCGACAAATATTTGATTTCATTGTTGGTTTTAGTTTGCTCCATATATTTGTGAAAGTTGGGGCTAAATATGGAAGGGTTTGTTGGTCAGTAGTAGTGATGGCGGCTTGGGGAGGTGGTGAGAGTGGTGGTAGAAATAAGTGGGTGATGAGACTGACGATACAATGGTGTAGTGTAAAGGTGGTGGTTGGTTGGACTGTTGCCTGTTGGTACTTGGGTTGTGAAGTGCTGCAGGTGGTGATAATGACTAAAGACGGCAGTGAGGGAGGACAATAGAAGATGATAAATAGAGTTTTTAATGTCTAATTTCCAATTTTAGTTGAGATTTCCCCTACTTTTTCATTGCATTTATTATTTTGGAAGTGAAAAAAATAAAAATAAAAATAGATTCATGCCCCTAGTAAATGGAAGTTGGACATGAGGTCCCAAAAGCTAAAAATGTGATAGTTTAGGCCCCAACTCTAGTTTTAACTCCCAGGTCCAAGTTTTTCACCTGAAAGCACTGCATAAGCTTTCTGGGAGTTTTATTTTGTGCAGTGGACAGAAAAATGATTCTTGATGTTATCATTATTATGGGGGCAGGTTCCTTGTCTGAAACACAAGATATATGGAAACTACATTTTGCTACATGTTTATGCCATAAATATAGTTACAACGTAGAGGGAAGCACAAAAATTAAAGAAGGCCATGTGATGAGGCGAGAGATAGAGAGACTTATGAAATGAGAAGAGAGATAGAAGGAACCAAGCAACAAATAAAGTAATGTTGCATTTAATTTAAAACTAGCGGAAAGGGGGAGTGTTGCAATAATAATGGATAGGAGGAAGTATGAACTATTTCATTCTTTAAAGGGAATATTTCATGTATAAATAAAGAACTTGCATGAAGATGCATGGGTAGGCATGATGGAGAACAAAGCAGGTCTAGCTGAATTGATTGATAGAGGTCTTATCTCATACTGACAACAGTGGCAAGCCCTACTTCCCCCTTTTACTTACTATTCTATTTCTTCTTAGACTGTAAAGCGGCCAGCACCTAGCCATGCTTAAAAACTAACGGACACTTTATCATTTCTATATAAAGAAAACAAAGTGGGTTAACAAAAGAGTGAAGCAAATGGAACCAAAGATAATGTTTACCCCAAGAATGGTACAGAAAAGTATCCCCCAACCTAAATTATCCCGGTGCCTAATTAATTTTCTGTTCTTGCTGATACCTGAAGTTCAAATTTTCCCTCCATTCCAGATCTTAGGGTCTGAACTCTGGAGTAGATGCTTTTCATTGAGTCAACTAGCTTCAAACAACATGGCTCCTGCTGGCTCATTTGGTTTTTTGTTATTCAAAATTATTAGTTTTCCTTGTTGAACAGATTGTGATTGGATTTCAGCAGCATGTCAGCATTGCTGAGAGTTTTCTGCTCGTCCCTCTTCCCACTATCTTCTTGAAAAAGCTGGATGTCCAATAATTTAAAATTTTGATGTCTGTGGATTGTAAGTAGTAATATATGGTAGTGGGATTGACCTGATCGATATAAGGATATACACAATTGTTTCAGAATGTATCATGGGGCTGGAAGAGAACTTACAATAGTCAGACACATGTATGTATAGCTGTGGTTGTTGGTAGATTTGGTTATATTTCAAGTTTCTAATTCTTCATAAATGATGAAGTGATAGCTGTATATGGTATTAAAGAAATAAGAGAAGTGTAGGAGTTTTAAAATAGTTCATATGTTAATGGAATTAAATGATAATTATTGTTTGTACACCATTTTCTAAGCTAGAATAAAGGTTGTAGGTGTGTTATGTAGTGACAAGAGACTCATTTTTTAAATTTACTTATCAAGAATAGTGTCTAAATGCCTATGGCCCAGTGCCCACACAAGGGTGGTTTTCCATAAGTTTTTGTTCTAACTGTCTGATCAATGATCATTACATCTTCTACCAGTCTAATTTCCTCGTAGTTTGTAATGTGTGACTTATGTACTTGGTAAAGACCTTAGGAGTATAACAGGATAGCAATGTTCATCTCACAAGCTTGAAAGGGTGCATAATGGCTACTTAATTATATGGTATCAAGTTTGCTATATTGGACAACTATCCATTATAACTTTGATTAATTTTCATATATGCTTTATTTGTCGTGATAACAATCATGATGTTGCAATGGCGTCATGTGAAGATGCTACGCGGCTTTTTGCAGCCATTATTGTGTGCACTGGCAAGTTTGGAAATTTGACTTCAGGATTCAGCATTGTATTCTGAAGTTACAGAATATGTTTCTGATATAATACTTGAAAGTATACTTTTTTGGATTTGATCTTTTTAGTTTGTGGAAATTAAAACTCAAAGGTTATACACATACTAAATTATGTGTTTAAAGTTTCCTACGAAGTATATGTGTAGTTCTACTATACCATTCACATAATGGCTGTGATAATATATCTAAATGACTAATGTGGTAAACTGGTAATATAATTTTCTATAATGGGTGCGGTGATGTGAATTTTAAACATGTGGTAAGTTGGCAATTCTTTACAAAACAAATTGTATTTGATGGAAGGAGGACCTTAAATTTTTAAATTTATTTCATAGTGATACTATGGACAATATTTTCTAATTTATACTCAGTAGAATGGTACACCTTTGGACAAATTCTGTTGAAATAGGCTGTGATTTATGTTTCAATGTACCGCTTGCCAAATAACATTTTCCTTAGAAAGAATCTTGGTTGACATCCTTTGACATTAGGGAAAGCGTCTGATAAATGTGTTTTGATGCTCAATCTTTGTTAGGATTTGGTATTTTTTAGATGTGGAAAAGAATGCCTTTAGTGTGGTATATGAGTTAGTCCACTAGAATATAGTCATCTTCAATAATGAGGATATGGAAAGATTTGTGACTCTAGTAAGTATGGTTTTTTCTATTAATATGTAGCAACATTGCTTTATATGGGAATCAAGTTGATTTTTCCATCTTTAGGAGTGAACTCAGAAGGCCTTCTTGGAAGCCTCCTCTACCTGAATTTGTTAGGCTTAATTTTAGTAGTTCAAGGTATAATGATGGTTGATTGGCTCTGGATTTTATTTAAGGGATAGTCTGGGGAAGATGCTATTGGGGGGTTCTAATTCCATTTCTAAGCTTTTTTCTAATCGAGGCTTTGGCTATACGAAAGGATATCAAAGTGCCAAAGCAGCCATTTTATTAGTGCTTCTAAGTTGGTCATCGTAAAAAAGTTTAATAGGTACTATTGTACAAGTGTGAGATACATTGTCCCTTGTGATAAGGAAATGGATCCATAGTATTTTGAGAGCAATGAGGTTCTAGATTTCTCTTAGCACACAAAAGAAGATGTCAAGATCTTTGCTATCTGTTGTTATTCTTGTTAATCATCTGTGAGGCTGAATTTGGTCATTCCTATCTTAGGGGTTAGCCTAGGTTTTCTTTCCTGAAACACAATTTACCTAGGTGACAACTTGATGACATTTTTCTGTTTGGATAGCTAAAACATTACTTTTGGATTAGTTGATTGATTCTTTTCCTTGATCACTCTTTTTTTTTTTTTTTTTGTATGCATCTTAGTTATGTAATTCTGACTCTTCTTTTGATAACATTGTTTTCTAGAAGCTACAAATCTTGAGGTTGGAAGTATTCTTCTTCTGTGTACCATTTTTTAGCTATCTCATGTCTCAATTTATCACAATAAATGGCTATGCTTACTTGACCACTTCATTTCATGTCAAGTACCCTTGTTAAAAAACAATTTGGCATGAGTATGGATGTTTGACAGTTGAGGCTTGGCCTAAAACAGAGCTAAATATTTGTAGAATGTAAGAGTTTGACACTTAGAGAAAAAGTATGTCCTGCACTACTAGAAAGGTTTGATTAAAACAGGTCAAGGAAAAATGATGTCCCCAAGTCATTGAATTACTTGTATCATCTTCTTCAGAAAACATATAAAAAGGAAAAGTGACTTGTATCATGTTCTTCACAGAAAACTGCAAGGAATCAATATTTAGGGGAAGGGCACATTAGTCATAGTCTATTAGTAGTAACTTGGGGAATAAGCTAGAGGTTTGTTAGGGGTATTTTCTACAAATAGACCTCATTAGGAGGAATAATGATTATGTTGAATATTGTTGAGGTTATGTTATTAGGAGAGAGTGAGCCTCTCGAAAGCTCATATTAGGAGAGAATCCACCTCTCGAAAGTGGAATTATCCTTCTATTAGTGTAATTCACCTATTATCAATATAATCATCATTGTTCTTCCCTGATTTCTGCCATATTTAGAGCTGTAATCTGGTCAGAAACCATGCTAATTCCTAGCAAAAACATATAAAAAAGAAAACCACTATCACTTCACCTTTGTAATATTAGTTTTACTGTGTAGACTATCCTTTTGGTTATCTTATGGCGGTTTAAGTGTGTTGAATACATAATTTATGGTTTTATGAACTGTTCTTCATTGCAGTTTTGCTTTTAGTGATGGAAGTTTTTGCCAAAAACATCATAGACATGAAGATGGATGGAGACAGTGTGATGTATGTGAAAGGGTAAGCTGGAAAGTTCTTGTTTTTTGCTTGTTTAAATTATGGTTAATGATCACGAGATTTGGTTTATTTGCTGGAGGAACTGCTAATGGGATCTTAATATACAATATTTGTCGACAGAGAGTTCACTGTGGTTGCATTATGTCACTCCATTTATTTGAAACAAATGACACTCATGGTGTAACCTGCAAGAAATGCCTTGATAAAAGGAGTCCTGTGGTATGATATGATTCCCATACTATTAGCCTTTTCATTGCTTCCTATTTTTGAGTCTCTTATATATACAATTCATTAGAATCTTTACATATATGATCTATATGGATGATATTTTTTGCGTGCTAATAGGATTTAAGATTCTTATATCCACTTATATTGGCATGGTTAGTTAATAAATTAAGCATTCAGTAGAGTGATAGGTTTACATGGTAACGGCAATAGTAAAGCTTTGACTCGATAGATGCACTCTGGAAGTATGTGGATTTGTAAGTTCTCATTAAATTTGTTTTCCTCAAAACTACATAGAAACCAAAGAAAACATCTTTCCATATGGTATTTTGACTTCCAAAATTGGAAAATGCTTCAGTTTGGAGTTTGAACCTCGCATAAAATACTAGAGAGGGGGAGATATTAGGGGAGGGGATTCCTCTTTGTGTTTTTGGTAACTTATGTGAAGAAACAAATGCTTAAGACCTGAAGGGTTTTCTAAATTGGCTAAGGGGTTAGGTAGTCTCTATCTTCCTTTTTTTTACAGTGTCATAAGAATAGAGTAATAATACCCTCATCCGTCCCTCCTCACACAATCACTATTTTGTCCCATCTACAATCACCCCCTTCAAGCTAAATTTTCTGTATATTGTTAACATTTACCCCCTTAATTAATAATCCTCGATCCAAGCATGCTCGAGTTGACTTTAATTCATTTTCTTATTTTGCAAGTACTCCGTTGTTTTTAGATTGTAACTGGCCTATTTGAGTCGCAAGAAGAAAGGCCACCCAGTGGCGGACCTAGCGTTGGTCACGCTGGGTCACGTGGCCTAGCAAATTTGAGGTTTAAAACTAAATGAAAGAAAGAATATTATGAAAAGAAGTTTGTGGCTCAGTGGTAAATCTTTGGGTGGAATTTTTTTCCTTAGATTAGCAGGGTTCAGGGGATCAAATCCCACCACAAACCCTTTTTTTTTTTTTTTTTTTCCCCCATTTTATATGCTAGCCTATTACGCATAATTGTACTATGTTTTGTTTTTCTTTTGTTTCATTTGATTTGTATTATTATTTGGGCCTAATTGTTTCTATTTTTTATGAAAATAAAAAAAATATGTATATTTTAAAAAAAAACTTTCATACTTTTTGTTTGACTATTTTTTCCACTTGACAATTTACATACTAGCCTATTAATTTCTACTTCATTTCATTTTTATTATTGTATATATAATTTGTTTTCTTTACATTATAATCAAAGCATATACAAGTACATACCATTACACAATCATAATAATTTTTTTATTTGTTTTTTTTTATTATATACATCAATTAACTAATTTAAATTATCTTTTCATGACTCCGAAAGTCTGAACCCATTTTGGGTATTTTTTGAATCCGCTACTGCTTTTATTAATATAATCCTAGCTATGTAGTCCATAATAGTAACCTATATTATAACAATTAATCTTATTGATATTTTAACTTAATTTTTAGAATGAAAATTAAAAATACATGTGATATAACAAGTTTCTTTAGTGCTAAAATTCATCCTCCTCCATAAAATCATTCTCCGTGACAAAATCTTCCTTCACAAAATCAACTTTTTGGATTGATTGATGACGGTGACCTAGCACCCATAAAATCCTGGATCCGCCACTAAGGCCACCCTTTTTAAATTTTTATTTTTATTTATTTTTATTGTTGTTATTATTGTTGTTCTTGCTGCTGTTGTTTATACTTCACTCTTTTGTATAAGGACTCAACCAAAATAAATCTCACAATATTTTTATTTTAATTTCTCATACGAAGAAGGGAAACAGCTAATGCAATCATCTTGTTTAAGTAGCTCTGAACTTTCTTCTGCATTACAGTAACCTGACTAATGTGGTGTTACCATGAACTTTTTAACTTGTGTGAAAACTTTGTTTTCATTTTTCTATATTAATTAAACTTCCTCCCTAATTTTTAGTTATTTGTGAAAGGACAGCATGGCTTATTTAGTGTTTCTTGTAACTCCAATTTTTTTTTCAGAATAATCTTAATGCGAGCAAGTTGTTTGCCTAACAATGCCATCATAAACTTAGGGTAAGAGTAAGAGAGTCCAACTAAATTACTTTTTAAAATTAAATCAGTAGTCAATTTGAAGTGCTGGTTTGTGCCCTAGAAGAATATTGCAAAATGAAGCTAGGAAATTGGCTTGATCTATCGGTGAACCACAATAAATGAACTTGCCCTGAGATCCTTTCTGTCACATTTGTATAAGTAATAAGTAAATAACTACAAATCTTCCAAAGTTGCTCCAAAAACATGAATTTTCCCGTCGATTTCCAGTTAGAAAATTTGCATATGTTTTTTTTTAAAAAAAAAAAAATTCTAAATTAGTTTGGGTTCTATCTCTTTTAAAGAGTTTTCTTCATCCAGGGCATGCATGTTTTACTGTAGGACAATCATCCAGGTTTCTCCCTTGTTAAAATATCACATGGAAAATGAGTTGGATGAGATGATGGCAACTTAAATTCTGGGTGTCCGATTTTTTTTTTTTCCCTCAATAATGTTTCTAATTTTAAATATTCGAGATAAGAATATGATTGAGTAGGAAATATAATTTTTAAAGGAAGTAACCATAAGAAATGAAATCTGAATATGAAATAATGCTAAAAAGAATGGCTGTGGCTATTGAAATATTTACTTGCGTGAATAGGTATTGAGATTGACCTCCAAAGAACCAAATTAGAAATTGTGAGCTTATATTCCATTGAGTTAATCGCTTTCAAGCTCAAAAATAATAATAAGCATCAAGCTTTCTCTTTATAGAATTTGAATCACTGCTAAGTTTTGTCTTTTACCATTTTTATATCTAATGATTATGGGCCACTTAGATAAAATCACCGTCATTTCCTTTATCATACCAAGTCATGCTTGTTTTGGCATTAATTAGGATATATCTCAGTTCTTATAGCACTTCAAGTCTCTCTCTAATATCCTATATATGAAGATCCCATATCCTAGTGTGTGTGTGAGTGTTACAAGAATTTTGAAGCTTTCTTCCCTCCCCTGATAGTGTTATTATCTATATAATTTGGATGGATTTTGGAGCAAAATTTTGAAGCTTTCTTCCCACGATAGTCTTATTATATGTATAATTTAGTTGGATTTTGGTGCAAAATTTTAGGTATCAATTAGAGGCACTTCTTCAACTTTGGACGAATCTTGGGCTGGTAATTTCTAATCTCTGTGTACTTCACAACCTAATGGTGTATTGTTGTGTGTGCATATGCTACATCAATGGCTCTGTTGTGATGCTTTTGTTGGACTCCATACTAACCCTAATCTTGCCCCTCTCTCTCTCTCCTTTTTTTTTTCTTTTTTTTTTTTTTTCTTTTTTTTTTTTTTCAGGATTATATCTTTTGGCAACCAGTGCTATTGAGTACTCCCTTGCAGACCCTACTATCTCTGCCGAACCCACCAACGCTAGGGGTGTCCTTGATGACCCCACCACTGCTAGTGTCGTCTCTGCTAATCCCACCATTGGGGATGCCCCTGCTGATCCCACCATTGGGGATACCCCTGCTGATCCCACCATTGGGGATGCCCCCTCTGATCCCACCGTTGGGGATGCCCCTACTGTTCCCACCATTGGGGATGCCCCTGCTGATCCCACCATTGGAGATGCCACTGTCGGCAGTGAGGATGATCAAAACCCCGCCACTATCATCGGGGAGGCCCCTGCTGACCTTGCCATGGAGGATGGCCATGCTAACTTCGCCACAAGGGATGCCTCTACTAACAGTTCCATCATCACGGATGCCGTCTTTGCTGACCCTGCCACCGGTGATGTCCCTGCCAACCTAGCCATCTTTGGGGATGTTGTTGACCCCTCCATTCCCGCCACCATCAGGGATGCCCTTGCTGACCCTGCCAACACCAAAAATGCCCCAGACCCCGTCATCATAGGAGATGTCCATGTTGCCCCCACCATCATCCGGGATGCCATTATCGGGGATGTCCCTACCACCATCATTCGGTATGCCTTTGCTCTCCCTGACCTCACCATCACCGAGGATGCTCTTGTTGACCCCACCAACAGTAGGGATGTTCTTGCTAATCCCACTGTCATCGAAGATGCCCTTGCTGCTCCCGACATCATTGGAGATGCCATCATTAGGGATGCCCCTGCTGACCCCGTTATCATCAAGGATACCCTTGCTAGCCCTACCGCCACCGGTAATGTCCTTGCAGACCCTTCCATGGACGATGCCTCTGCTGATCCTAATCATCCTATTGTCAGGGATGCCATCAGGGATGCATCCATGGATCCCTCCATCATCAAGGATACTTTTGCGAGCTTTGCAATCATTGGTGACTCCCCTGCACACCCCTCTATAAGCAATGCCTCCGGGAATGCCATTGTGGATGCCTCCTCCAGGAACCCCTCCATCATAGGGGATGCTTCTGCTGACCCTTCCAAAATCAGGTATGCCTCTAATAGCCCCACCATTATCAGTGATGTGGACCCCGTCATCGTCGGTGATGCCTCTATTAGATCCCACCAATGTCAGAGATGCAGACCCCGTCATCATTGGGTCCATTGGGAATGCCTTTACTGACCTCTCCACTAGGGATGACCCTAATTTCCCAGTCACTGAGGATGTAGACTATATCTCTTTGTAAACTTGTATGATGGTGGCAGCATGCCAGCATTAAATTAAGATGGCGCACAAGCTTGTGTCAGCTAGTGCCATTAGCCTTCTGCCCCATAATAGATTTTTTTATATATATATTTATATTTATAGTCCTGCAGCAAGCTTATGGCAATTGGTTAGAAAGAGTTTTTGCAATCTTTCTGCACCATGTTCATGGCACCTAAATACATTGTAACAAATTTGCAGTATCCTTAGGTTTATAATCTGCATTATCCCCTTGAATGAGTTGGATCTTTTTTTCATTGATCTTTCTGCTCTGTTGACTGAGTTTCTTTTCTGTTTGTACTTGGATAACAACATTGTCTTATGGTGTGTGTTATGTTTGAAAGTAAGGATTAGGTTTTATTATTCCTGCATCTAAGTTATTTCCTGATTTTATTTATAATTTAGCATTTCTGTAATGTGATAAGTCTCAAATCATAATTTCTAAAAATTTGTGCATTTTCTTGAACTCTTGGTTGCACTTCTGTCTCTTCATTTGGGCTAAATTTCTTAAACATGATCTAAAAATTTGTATACTGTGGAGTATTCATGCAGGTTTTATTATTTCAGCAGGTTCTTTGATTTTGTATTTTTGACTCCTCATATGGTAGCTTGAGATCTTTGCCATAGTGATACCATGTTTAAAATGTGTTACCTCAAGTTGCCAAGTTTGGCACTTATCTCACGCGGTTTTCTTCAATCAAGATGAAGTCAGTAACCAAAAAAGGAATCCTTTCATAAGGCAATTATAAATCGATCCGACTTTCATGAAATCATGCATCTGAATTTAGATTTACAGTCCACATTTCCTTGGGTCTATGTCTGATTAGTTGAAATGTTGGTTTGAGAAACTCGTTTAGCGTGGTTGTGAAATGAAACTTATTGATGTTCTGTTGCGGAGTTTAATTTTTGTAAAATTACCATGAATCTGCTCTATAAGACACTAACACATTTTTGCTGTCATTTTTTTCAGTGCTGTATCTGCTGAAGGGCCTGAAGCTCCTGAACCCGGGACTGATTAGTGAGCGTAGAAGCCCTTGGTGCATCCTCAGGCATATGCTTCTTTGTGCCGATTGTTGCGTCAATTCTTAATTATGAATAGCATAATTTAAAAAAAAAAAAACCTCTATTAGGTGAAATAACTTGTGCTACTTTGCTGGTTTGTTTTCCTGTTTTGATACACTGTTCTGTTTCATTACTCATTAATATGAGATGAGAGTGAGTAATAGCTCAAGTGATTAGAGCTTTCCTCCCGGTTTCAGGAGATCCTGGGATCGATTCTCACCCCGCCCTTGTGGCTCTCTAAGCACCAAAAAAAAAAAAAAAAAAAAAACTCATTAATATGATATTGGTAACACCTAAAAATTTATTTTGGACCTACAATTTCGTGTACTTTTTTTTTTTCTGTCTGATGCCTCTTTTGCTTCTTATTAGACTTCCCTGCGACCCTGCCTTAGCTCTTCCAATTTCCAATGGTATATTTTGCTTTCGGAAGTGGATGCGACATAATTTGTGTACATTGTCTAGTACTTGCATATGTGAGAAGTACACATTCTTCATTGCTACAAATTGGCAACAGCACGAACTTAGGATCGTGTTCAAATCTACCAACACAATGGTTAATAAGAACTTTCTGTCTATTATTATTATAATTTTCTAAAACTTGAAACTAGCAAAAAATCTACCTTAGATGCAACGTCTTTTTATTTTATTATTATTTTATTTTTATTTTTTATTTTTTTATTATTTTTTTTTCTAATTGTGGAGAATTTCCAATTATGCCATGATTTGCAGAAGTGGAAGCGGGAATTTTTAATAAATTATACTCCCTAATGATAAAATTCAATTTTAGTTAGTAAGGAATCATATTTATTCAAATTTCTCAAACTAAAAACCACTAATGTATGAAGTACCAAGAATGTAAAGGCTACATATACACTAGGTGTATGTGGGCCATATATACACTTGGAGTGTGTCAATCTATGATAGGTGGTTAATTTAGTGCCCAAAATAAAAATTTCAGATTCTTTTTTCAAATTAAATGAAAATTTTAGTTTGAATTTCACATTCTATTTCTATTTTTAAGATATAATTAATGGTTTTAAATTCTCAACTACCCCCTTCTCTCTCATCTCATTTTTTTCTGTAAATTTTTTTGCTTTCATTTTTGTTCTCACTTCTCTCTCTTCTGTTCATCATGTTCTACTTAGGTTTTTATTTATTTATTTATTTATTTATTTTTTAACAGAATTTTTATGTAATTGCTTAACGCAATCTATTTTCAAGTTTGCTTCAATAAAATAAATTGAATTTAGAAATGCTTAAACAAACTAATCTATTTTACAGATTTCTTTATGTTCTTGTTTAACATGTAAATTATTTATTATATACTTTCTCCATCTTTTGCTTAAAAATTTGTTTCTTTTTACAAAGATTCTGTTGAATATGCAATGTTTTGACAAAAAAAGTTGTTTTATAAAATTTTCTTTTGTTTAGATTTGTACAAATCTTATGTTCGAAACTAAAAAAAAAAAAATTTAATTTTTTAAGATTGTCTTAAATTTTTGCTTTCATGTTGTTGATTTCTAATAAGTTTTTTTTTTTTGATGTTTTGTTTTTCATTAAGCAATTTGTTTTTAGACAAATAGAAAAATATTGTCATCCTAACAATGTAAATTTCAATAATGTTGTATTATGAAATTGAATTATCGTTAATTCCGATGCTCTTCATTTTTCCCAGATTATAAAACATGAAAGTTTTATATTTCTTCAAAATTAGATTATTGAATACTTGATTCTTCACAAAGACAACACATGAAGCTCCTTGATTTATCATAATAATAGATTAGTAAGAAATTAAATCCATGAAACGTTTAAGTCCATTATTATATGATAATTAAAATTGAAATTAAAACATAAACTGGGCAATAAATTTCAAGTATATTATTAACGAAACGATTGTAAATTTGTATTTTTTTAATAACAATATTTATTTGAATAGTATTCGAAGTTATATTATAGTTTGCAAATTAGAGTGATGTATACTATAATTATTTGGGGCATCAATTTGTTAACATGGTGAATATCCCGCAATCTTAGTTACAACTGCAACATTCAATATGAGTTCCATGTATTCAAGTCTCCAGTTCAAATCTTATATGTTTACAAGTGCCACTTTATTAATTTGTTTAGTAATAGTATATATTTGAATAGTATTCCCTTTATTTGTTTAGTAACTATAGACATTATACAATTGACACAATAGGAGAACATATAGGTGTAATTATAAAACAAAGATAAGGGTATGTTCAGTTCACCTTATTTTCACTTATTTCGGGTGTAATAAGTTCAGATAAATTCAGTTAAGTTCAGATAAATTCAGATCATATTTGATAAGTTCTAATAAGGGTTACCCAAGTACAAATTACAACTAAAATAAGTTTTAATAAGGTTCAGATAAGTTAAGATAAGTTCAGATCAGTGAAAATCAGGTGAATAGAACACACCCTCAGTTAGAGAACTTTTATGTAAAAATAAAGTATAAAAAAATATAAGTTTTCTTGTGAATATGTTATTTGAAACTTTCTATTTATTTGTATTTTATTTCACATAATGCCATATTTATTAGTAACCTATATCTATTTTATGAATTTGATATTTTATTATTTTTTAACCCTTTGCTATTTGATTATAATCCTTCACTTTAATCCTTCACTATTTAGTACGTAAAAAAATAATTCAAAATTAATAATTGGCTTGGTGTGTCTTATATTAATCAATTATACTACCTCAGTTTTTTTTTTTTTTTTTTTTTTTTTTTTTTTTTTTTTTTTTTTTTTTTTTTAGCTGCAACTTTGGGGTATTATTCGAGAGATATAAAATATTCCAAAGTTGCAACTAAAAAAAATCGGATGTAATATAATGAGACCATTACTAGTAATTGATGTAAAAAAAAAGTAGTAATATTTCTCCTTACAAAAAGTAAACAAAGTATAGAAAATTAGAAGTTTTATTGTAAATATGATTTAAAACTTTTACTTTTTTTTTGAGGATATTTAAAAATTTTACTTAATTTGCATTTGTATTATATCTTTTGAAAAAAAGGATGATAAAATGAAAAATAGTTAGAGATTTTTTTACATAAAACCAAGTATAAAAATATAAGTTTTATTGTGAATGTGTTATTTAATTGGTGCTTGAAGCAATATTGAGTATTTCAGCGGCTACTTCTTATTTTGAAAATATTTAGTTTTGCATACATAATTCAACTTTTGATAAAACAATTGATCGAATAATTAGTTTTTATATATTACAAGATTAATTAAAGTGTCTAATAATAATCTATTATCCAATATTAATATTAAGGAATGAGATCATACTAGAAATGCTAACAAAGATATATAGTTTGAAAATATTTAGTTTTGCATATATAATTTAACTTTTTGGTAAAACAATTGATCGAATAATTAGTTTTTATATATTACAAGATTAATTGAAGTGTCTAATAATAATCAATTATCTAATGTCAATATTAAAGAATACGGTCATATTAATAATGCTAACAAAGATGTAAAAAGAAGGATTATAGAGCAAAGATTAGATTAACAAAGTATAATTTTATTATTATTTTTTTTATTATAAACATGTTACAAACTTTAAATTCTTTTTTTATTTATTCGTAACCGATTACTATATTTTATGTATACTCCAATAGTTATTATTTTAACCCTCCACTATTTAATTTAAACCATTTACTTTCTTTCAAAAAAAAAAAAAAAAAAAAAAAAAACCTTTACTACTGATTTTAGCCCTCCAACTTATAAGAGTTATTCCTTACTTTACATATATTTTTTTGCATAAATACATTACTTTGTTACTAATTTAATTTGGTGGCTAGTTACTTAGTTACACACTTTGTCACTAATTTAGATACAATAAATACTTCGAAGTCGGGGAAAAACTTGCGCGAACCTATTTCATTCACAATATTATTGTGGACTTGAGAGAACAATGTCTTAACATTTAAATTGTAAGGAAAAAATAGTTTAGGATACAAAAATAATGGTTTTGTCACTACATTTTTTTTTTGAGGGATTGTAACTAAATTAATATCAAGCTTATTAATATATTATAAACTTAAAAAGGTAATAAGACCAACTAAAACTCAGAACGTGTCCTTGTCATGATACTAAAATAATGTGTTCGTTACTAACTTAACATTAATCTTATTAAAACCAACTAGAACTCAATACACGTTCTTATCGAGTTTCTCTGTCATCAAATAATGTTTTGTATAATTCCTGAAGTTTGTCAAAAATAAATTAGTAGATTCAAATAACAAAACAAAAGTAATAAATTAAGTGGAATATATATTTAACGAATATTTTTTACACAAATATATATTTAACGATTATAGTTGAACTAATTAGAGGTTACCACACTTTGGTGTTAAATAACAATTCAAGCTATGTACTGTTGAATGTTTGCTTTAGAAATGAACAAACAGGACTGAAAATTAGTTTAATTCGGGTATGGAGTGTATTAGTTTAATATGAGTATGAAGTACTCAAAATACTATCGATCTTTAGAGCATTTAAAAAAAAAAAAAAAAAAAAAAAAAAAAAAAAAAAAAAACCACATTGCCAGAAAATTTCTCCTATTAATGTCTTCTATGTTGAAGTTGTCTTCTCCGGCCAATTATATTAATCCATGGAATAGCCTTTTGGTTTTCAATTGAAAAAGAAGTGGGTTAATGGAGGGTAGTTATTTCCACAATTAATGCATGTTTAGCACTAAGGAATTACTCCCGCCTAACTTGCATTGTAGCGACATTTTCCCAATTAATTTCCCCCTCATTTTTCCCTCTTTATTTTTTAGTTTATATTGATGTGGCGGCTTTTATTGGGGGTGTATGTTTACCCCACATACACCTAGTGTATGTGTATCACTTCTCACCAAGAATTCCATTAATATATTTGTTGTAATCATCAAAAGGTGCTTTTAATTTAGAGATTGTTTGGGAGGAAAACCAGGTTGATATCCTATATTAATAAAAACATGTTATAATTCCTATAAAAAAATGCTTATATCACCAATTTTTCTCACTCCTTCCCTCACATGGCTAATTTTTCCTTCTCTCTTCTCAATTTCCATGGCCACTACTTCCTTTTCTCTGTTCCATTCCCATGGCCATGCCCAAGATCGACCACCTTCACAGATTTAAAGCGGTCGGCTGGCTGGCCAAACAATAGACACCCTAGTAGTAAATTATGAAATTTGGGCCCATACAAATCTTTTAGGGACAGGGATTCGCTCGTACTTGTGGTGTTGCGGAGGTCGAATTGTGGTTGCCCGGTTGGCTGGTGGTGCTAGAGATTGTGCAGTGGTCGATTGGTGAAGCTTAAGGTCGTGCGGTGGTCGATTGGGGTCGACTGGTGAAACTAAAGGTCATGCGGTGATCGGCTGGTGAAGCTAAAGGTCGTGCGATGGTCGATTGGTGAAGCTAAAGGTGGTGCAACATGTGGTACCAGAGGTTGTACGGTGGTAATAGATAGGAGAGAAAGGGAGTGTGGTTGTCAAATTACCAAAATTACCCTTGGTGTGTCTGCTAAATTTACAAAATTAGTTTTGATATTAACAAGTTTTGTTAATATAGGATATCAACTTGTATTTTCTCGATGGTTTGGTTGGATGTAAAATATTACAAAAAAATAATGTTTTTGTTTTCTCTAATTTCTATTTATTGGTTTGCAAAATAATGAATAATAGTTAAACTAATTGTAAAACGGTTTTATTTAAAAGGAAAAAAATATCTAAATCTTCATCCTTCCTCCTTACCCTCTTCCTTTTTCCTATGATAGTCCTATCACTCCTATCTATCTTGAGTATCTTCATCCTTTCACTTTCATTTTCCTTTTGTTGTTGTTGTTGTTGTTTAGAGAGCCACAAGGGCGGGTGATGAGAATCGATCTTAGGGGAGCTCTAACCGCTTGAGCTATTCCTCACTCTCCCATTTTCCTTTTCTTATAAGAATATTATTAAGGGAAAAAAAATTTGTACTCATCAAACCAAACAAATCTTTCAATCAATGGATATTACAAAGTATTAATAAAGAATTTATTTTCTTACTCAGTAAAAAGTATCAATAAAGATTTCTAGGTTTTTTTATGGAAATTTTGCAAAAAATAGCCTTTTAATTTTTTTTTATACATATAACTACCTTTTAAAAAAATTGTTGCAAAAGACCACCAATTTAAAAAAATTTGTTGCAAATTACCACTTTTTTTAGCCAAATTTATCATTTGTTTAACATTGAATTGGTGGTAATTTGCAACAAAATTTTAAAAATTGGTGATCTTTTGCAACATTTTTTTTTTAAAAGGTGGTTATATGCAAAAAAAAAAAAAAGATTTAAAAGGTGGTTTTTTGCAAAATTTCCTTTATTTATTTAAGGAAAAGATTTCTAGTTAAATTAATAAAGATGAAATAACCACGTAAGGAACATTATTTAATGTATATAAGGTTGACCAATAAAACTCATACGAAGTAATACCAGTTATATCTTAACTGACTCACAATAATTAAAAAAAATTTGGTAATGTTTTGCATAGCTCAAATTAAAAACGCTCTTGAAAATTGTATAAAATTAGGAATTGATGATAAAAACACTCGTAGATTAGCGTAACTAGTGTGTTTTTGTCGAGATTTTCTAAATTTAAACAATTTTCAAGCGTCTTTTTTAATGCTGTAGCGTTAAAGGCTATGTATATCATTTTATTTAAAAAAGGGTTTTAGTTTTACAAAATTTTTAAAGTGTCTAATATAAAGAAAGAATTATTCAAAAAATCAGGTAGTTTTACAATTAAAAACTTGCTTATACTCGTGGAGCTTATATTGACACACATAATAAGAGGGCAAAGGAAACAAAAGAAAATTCCAGCCATTACTCATTTCCTCTTCTCTCTCTTCTAATTCTCTTTTGCAATTTTTTTGTGATGAGTTTGTTGGGTCATTGCAATGGTTTCACTGGGAATTTCTTCAAAATTTCAACCCATAAACTTCATTCTCAATCTTATAATGGTCAGTCCAATTCCTCTGTCTTTCAAATGCAAAATTCTCATTGTTTTTGTGAAAAATGAAGTTGGATTTTGTATTTATTTTGTTTAAATCTATCAAGTTCTGTAATAAGAAAACTAATCAATTCTACTGTTTTTTTTCAGTGGGGAAAAGGGTACCCATAAAAATGTTAAAGAGGGATTCAGGTGTACAGAAATATGAGCAAGATGATGTTTTGATGTCAAAGAATGATTTGAAGAACAAAGTGAACGCCTTAACGGTTGTCAATTCATTGGCTGGTGAGCCCTCTATTAATCCTTTCACCGGACAACCCGGAAATTGTCCGGATTTGGTTGTCGCATTACTAGTTCAAATAATGGAATTACATGATTGAGTTACACTATCAACATGACAATTAATTTCGAACTATTAATTTTCATTGTTTTTGAATTAGGAATCATACAATAGTTGATTTTTTTTTTTTTTTTGAGAAGATACAATAGTTGATATGCCTAGCTAAGTTATATTGAAAAAGCTGTGTCTGGTTCTATTTGTTACAGAATATCTTTCTTGTACCTGAGTCAGGTGTACACAACATTATTTTTTTGCTCATTTGATCAATTTTGCACATTTAAAATTTCTCGAAATGAGCATGAATGGTAAATTGAGCTAATAAGACACTTGCATAAACTTTTCTCTGGGTGTATTTGGGTACAAGACTGAGGTTCTCTTCTTTCTGATATAATTACCAAAGTTGGTATACTACATTTCCTCATTGAGATTCTCTTCTTTCTGACTAGTAATATGCTCTATAGTAAGATAGTACTTTAGTAAAGGCATAGAGATTTAGTATTGAATAGTAATGTTTGATGCATTGGTGCTCACTTGCATCGTTTTCTTTTGGACAACTGCAGTAGTTAATTTGCTTGCGATAGACCCAGCAAATGCCATCCAAATGGAGGATATAATGTATGCTTTCTCTTCTTTGTTATGGTTTGCACTTTGCTATATCTTTATTTCCTGTGTCATACTTGTGAAAATACAGTCAATGAATAAATGATCCATGCTCACTTGTAATTAGTCTTACCCCATTTTGTTGAGCATTCAGCTTTGGAAATGTTCATCACTTATATAGTGTTTCTAATTTCTACTTCATCAACATGAGAATTAGTTTCTACTATTAATTTAGTTTTAGTGGTGTAAAACAGTTATCACTTGAATTGACTGAAACAATTTAATATAAAGTATCTTGATATACCTGGATTTTATGTTCCTAAAATCTTAAGGAGAGTAAACTAATATATGATGCTAAGAGTTCTAGTGCAGTATGTGATACATCGTAGTTTGCTCTCTAGTATGATATGAATGACCTCAAAGACTAGATTTATTCTTATTCAAGACAGGATAAGGCAGCATCTATCTATATGCTAGCCGATGGGAGTATTGGAGATTGGTTTGGAGGTCTTCTATATTCAGCTGGGCAACAAGCCAATGAAGCTGTTTTGAATCAGTTGTCAGCTCTTAGTTTGACAAGGTAATAATATTATGAGCTGCATATAGTATGTTTGATATCGTGATCATGCCGTCGTTTTCTAACTTCTGTTGTTTTTACGTACTCTTCTATCAGTCTGGCTGTCATTTTTGGAGCTGGACTGGTAACCAGCCTTTCCCCTTGTACACTAAGTGTTTTGCCTTTAACACTTGGTTATATAGGTAAGCTATTATCTTAGATGACTGTTGTGTCAATTCCTGTTACTTCAATAGATATGTTGCTATGTATATTTTGTATCAAAAGTTGATCATATTCAATGAATTCATTCAGGTGCTTATGGCTCTGGAAAAAGCCGTGCACAGGTGATATTTTTTTTTTTTTTTATTAATATTATTATATTGAACCTTTTTTTTTTTTATGATAATGTTGTTTCTTATGAACAGATTCTCCCACTGTCAAAAAAACTCTTAATGAAAAGGAAAGTAAAAGCTGAAAGAAAGTATAACTTTTCTAATTCATTGTAACTTATTCAGTTTTTAAAAATTGATAAGGGAAGAAATTAATGGACATTATCTTCTACTAATTTTACATGAGGTATATAGTTATTGAGTTGAAAGCCCTGGGTTTCGATGTTATTTGCATAATTTTTTAGGACATGCTTTTTTTAATTAGATTGGTGGATTGTACAAAAGTTTTCATCTTTTCACCTTGGTGTTCAGGTCATTGGTGATTCCATTGCTTTCGCATTAGGATTGGCTACTACGCTGGCACTCCTTGGTGTTGGAGCCTCTTTTGCTGGAAAAGCTTATGGACAAATAGGCAGCGGGTTGCCTTTGGTTGCATCTGGTCTTGCTATTGTGATGGGCCTTAATCTGTTAGAGGTAATGCATTATGCATTAGTGGAACTCTAATCCCGCTTCTTAGTTACTTGTCGACTCCTCTGACATTTATTTCCCCTTTATTGTTTGACATCACAGATACTTGAGTTGCAGCTTCCATCATTTTTCAATGACTTTGATCCCCGTGCAGCAGCTGCAAACTTCCCCTCAAGTAAGCATTTAGAGCTCTTAGTTTTTACTGAACAGCTGAAGCATATCCTAAAAAAGGCCTGACAAGTGAAGCTATGGGAACTGTTTTTGTATGCCAGGTGTGCAAGCATATTTGGCTGGTCTTACATTTGCTTTGGCCGCATCACCCTGCAGCACACCTGTACTGGCCACTCTACTTGGTTATGTGGCTTCAACCAAGGTATAGTAAATCTTTGATGAAACTCATATGGTGAGAGTATACTTTTAATGACGGTGCTAGTTGAATGGGTAGATGCTTACCATGCTAGGATTTCTTGAATGCTGTATAGTTATTGATGTAATTATTACCATTTTCCACCTCAACTAATCGTGTAAATGGAGCATCTATCTCAAACAAAACATTTTGATAATCAAATGTGTAGAAAATAAAGTTTGTGGAGTAGGTGCAGCATGATTTTTAATTTCTTCAACCTTGCTGCTTTGATCCTATTTACTATCTTTATGCTTATTTAACTTGAGAATTTTGTGACAGGATCCTCTAATTGGGGGCAGCTTACTGCTGACCTACACTACAGGCTATGTTGCTCCTCTGCTGTTGGCTGCATCTTTTGCTGGTGCATTGCAGGTACCACTTTCTTTCCTTTTGATCAGATGCTTATGAAGATAACCTTTTTTTACTCAATTTGATGGTGAATCTTTGTTTTGCATGATCATGACGTATGAGTGTTAAGTAATGGCTGGTCAATAAATTCAGTAAAACCACCTCAATTCACGATTTTTCTTAGTTGACTTTCCACAAATATCGAGGAAAGTGGATAAAAAACCCCATTAAGAATAGCTTTTTGCAAGGCAATGCCTCAAATGCATAGACAAAGTCCGGTTGAAGAGGCTCATATACTGAACGTCATGGAATAATATGGCGGGTCATTTTGAAACTGAGGACAGTCGTTGAATTACTGAGTGGGTATTGAAAATTTTAAGATTATTGTAGTAACGCAAGTGTAATAGGTCCAGTAATTTAGGCCCAAGCAATTCAAATTATGGAAACCTAATTAGATCAGCTCAATATCATTTTCTCGATAAGACAGCACTAGAACTGTTCCAGAATGAAATGGATCATATAGGATCATTGATAATTTATTCTCTGCCTCATCACCAGGATGACAACTTGCAATTCAAATTATATCTTGGAAATATTATGGGAAGGTGGCTAGTATATGGATGAAAAAATGAAAATTTTACTCCACAGAATTTTGATTGACTGACAGAGGAAGTGGTCTCAATTTTGATTGGATTTCCTTTTAAAGGAGAAGTGATTTCTAGAGTTTTTCATCGTACCAATGTTGGGAAGGGAGTACATTCTGAATATCAAATCGTCCATTTAGTCTAAACCCTATCAGAACATCATCCACGAGAAGAGACTGATACACCTCAAGTGTCATGAAACAAGAGTAAAAGGTGAAACAATTTCATGTGTGCTTTAGAAGCGTAATAGTTGTGTTTCCTATGGAAGTTGCTTCGTGTTGACTATCACCATACAAACATATTCTTGTCAGAGTTGTCACCATCTTGATCCACGTTTTATATTGTGCCAAATTTTATTAGCTATGAAGAGTAAGTGATGCGCTTAGACAGCCATGATAACTTGTCACTCAATTATGCCACTTCCTATCACTTTATAAACCCATTCTCTCCATGATAAATTTCAACCAAAGACAACCATGATCCCAGATAGTTGAAGGGCTAGCTTATGCCTCTCTTGGAGTTTGGGGGTCATTCCTGCAATCCCAGCCTGTCCCCATCTCTCAGCGGGTCATGTCTGAGAACTATATACTAGATTTGTCTGGAGTCCTTCTGCTCAACTTCATTGGTTTAACTTCAACTGGGAAACTTACTGAGAAATGAGAAGTTTACTGATTTAACAGCATATGTGCTTAATATTACTGAAAGCAGAAATCATCTTCAAACTAAGGGCTTCAGACAGTAATGCTGTAATAGGATACTAAGATAACAGATTACCATTTTTTTCTAGGATTACCACTTGTAGGAAACCATTTATGACTTAAGAGAACTGAGAAGAAGTGAATACAAATCAACCAATCCCTATGGGAAATCAGGATCTACCCAGATATGATAACATAATGGGCTCGATGAACACTTTGCTTTCTTTCTTAAAGTCCTTTAAAAGGTTTATGTTTAGATTCATGTTGCTTACCGTCTTATGTATCTGCAGAGGCTGCTTTCATTTCGCAAGTTTTCAGCTTGGATCAATCCACTGAGGTACCTTCTTTATCTGGAACATAGTTTTCTCAGTTACTCAATTTTCTTTTCCCTTTTGGTCTTGTGTCTTGGAGTTTGATATACAAAGTATCATTTATGGTCTATATCCGGTATTCACTTGTATTTATGGTTTCCTCTCTGCTTGAATCTGATTGTGATTGCAGTGGCGCCCTCCTCCTAGGCGGAGGTCTGTATAGTTTGCTGGATAGACTTTTCCCTACTACAACAATGGTGATGTAGATATCCAGAGCTAAAAGTTGTATTAGATTTGTTTGCAAGAATACACAGTATTATCTTCGTGTGGCAAGGTATATAAGATCAAAGGTGCCAAACGTCGAATCCAAGTTCCTGTACACTTTGTAGGATATACTAATAGTCAGTTCTAAATTCTGAGTGTAAACCTTAGATTATATCAGCTAAATTACTTGAACCATGTATATCTGAGTGTATACTTAGTAATAATCACTCCTTACTTTGTCAAATCCTCTGTATCTGACACGTCTTTTTCTTAAGTAATCCTAATTAATTAAGGGAAATCACGTGCTAATGAGATCCCCTTGATAATGACAGATGAAAAGGATTTCTTGTGTTTTGCAAAGTTTTGATAAATGGGAGGAGGCTCCACATATAATTGAATCTCACTGTCTGTAAGACTGTACTTTGTATAATTGTGTACATCAAAGGATCTAGTGATAAATGCAAAATTGACCTGGTAAACCAACCAAATTTGAGTTAGTCGACCTGAATAATCCTGCATGTACTAGAAAATGATTAAACTAGACTGTTCGATTTATATTCTTATTTAATACACGTATAACCTGGTCCGAATTTGCTTTGAATGATTAAAGTCTCTTGAGGACGTTCTAAATTGAGTTACATTAAACATAGCCAAATCTAATTCAAGCCACCAGATTGTCACCTACACTTATTATAGATGATCGTGTTTTCCCATTACTACACAATGGTTTATTCATGTTGATTGTACGTTATATCCGCAAGTAGTGTCAATTATTTGTTTTGACACACGCACTTAAGTAACATTCTACCCACCATCAAGCATGTATTTGGTAGAGTAATGCACCAATGCATGGACCATTGCTTAGAAATTCCCAACCATTTTCTGCCGACAATGACAAAGACAAAGAAGCAAAGAACAATATAGATTTCTACTAATTGCTAAGCCACTTAACCAAGTAGCCGCCTTCCCAAAAAAATGCTGAATTTGTGATCAATATTTTTGGAACCCATGCAACCGTTATGGCCGACCATACTTAGATAAGGCAAAAGTTGAACCAAAACACCTTATTTTGTTTAGCTATACTTTTAGGCATTTGCTTGTTTATCCAATCTACATTTTTCTTTTGTATTTTCCTTGTTTGGCTTGTAAAGAAGCACAATCTAATGATGTTTGAGGTTATTGAGAGTTACCCATCATGTTTAGTCACTCGTCACAAATCTTTACAAAGGTCTTCTTTATATCTTTTTCTTTAAGGTAGTTTTAAAAATAAAATATTCATCATTGTGCACGTTAGACTGTTAATTGGAGAAATTAACTCTCCATGTCATAAGAATATCTTGTTACTCATCACGAAGTACATAAGAGTACTTAAATCTTTAAGAATATTGTGCTATTTAATACATAAGAGTACGTAATATCTTTATTTTAAACACTCCTTTAATGTCTTGTTTGGATTAGCCTATGTTTTATGATTGACAATAGGAGTAAATAATGGGAATTATAAATTAAACCCAATGTGTATACTCCATAAATTGAGAAACCAATGCAATTCTTAATCAATAATCAAACATTATCATAGTCAAATTCATGTCAAAAAGTTTGATCTAATGGTAAGAAATACTTGAATAACATGAATAAAATGAAGAAATTTTTCTTATTGAAAAAAAAATACACATGAGTCTTAAGACAAACGAAAATCAATTAACAAATTTGTTTATATTGACTTATTGAATTTTTTTTTTTTCGATATAACATTATTTCACTAATAAATTAAAATTTCTTGCCATATTCCGATATTTGTAATTTTCACCATAAAACCAAATCAAACATAGCTACTTACAGGGTTCCAACAAAACCAAATTGATTTCCTGCTAGAATTGCAAAAGAAATCTTTGCATTACCTAGCTCGCATTTGAATACTCAAAATCCCACCCCTTAAAAAAATTAAAAAATTTAAATCCGAAAAAGATAATTATTAATATATCTTTTTTACATTTTAATTTTTTTTAATTACCACCCAAAATTAGTTTCTAGTGGGACCCACCACCAACCACCACTTTGTATTGGTTAAGTGAGTCTTGTCGTTGCAACCGCATCTCCTCGTTAAACTTCTTGATAAACGCCTCAACACGGCGGTTTAACTCGTCTTGACTTAGCGACGGCTCTCTCCTCAGCCTTGAACTCGCACTTGACGGGGATGCGCTACCGCTTCCGTTGTTGAAAGTGTCGGATTTCTTCATCACCTTCACCGGAGACTCCTCCGGCGATGCTCCGGCAAATGTGTCAGACTTCTTAAGGTGACGTGTCAACGGCATTGACCGTCCATCTGTTATTGTCCGCCACGTGGACTCCAGTGTTTCCTGTTTTTTTGGCCTTGATACTTTCAGCACTGCTTTTCCTGCTTACAAGTGTCATTTGTTACCGTTAGACTTCCGATTGAAATTCAAATTTATTCATCATTTTATCGTTGAATTTTAAAATCTTGAAAGCAAACTTAAATTAATTGTCTTCTGAAATAAATCAATCTACTGAAAAATAATGACATACTCCGTAGTACATAAAAACAGAAACAAATAATGTCTTAATCAACTATTTGTGGATAATTACAAATCCAAATTCAAAACAGTGCAACTTTAAGCTAAATCGAGCAACAAAAACATGAAATCAAATCTCGTCTATATTAACCTAAACTAGTTATCTCCTCGTAATATTTGTACAATATAAATCACACAAAAATCTGCAATATAGCGAACTAATTCATATTCAAAATACAACTCATTTTAAATTTTCAGTAAGTTAATTTTTTTTTAAAATTATTGAAATTAGTACAAATTTCTTTACAAAAAAAAAAAAGAAATTAGTACAAATGAAGAGAGAGAAGATTTCCTCAAAAAAAAGAGAGAGAAGATTACCTTCAGGACTAGCTTTGACAGCTCTCCGATGACCAAACCTCGCCGAAAACGGCGGTTTCTCCGCCGAAGACATTGGCGAAAACGCCGGCACAACCATCACCGGCGCACTTTTCTCCGGCGAGTTCCACACCGGCTTCGACAACACAAACTCATCACCTTCCTCAAATTTTTCTCTCTCCTCCACGTCATCACCTACAACAACTTTCGCAGGTTTATCCATTTTAGTAACAATCGGACTCTCGACGTATCCGAACACCACCACATCATCTTCCTTAGCGACCTCCATGACCGCCACGTGTACATCGTCAGTATCCAACACCGGGAATCCCGCCGGCACCGGAGTTAGGGTTCCGGCGTTTCCCTCACTTCCGGTGCCGCCTCGTGGCTGAAGCTTAGATGATGCAACAATGGAGATGATGATGCAGTTGATGAGAAGGTACATGTATGGAGGTCTGAGCCATGAGAGTGCAAGTGACCAGAAGAGAGGAAGCTCGGAGGTGAGGAAGTCTAGGATTACCGGCAGTGATAGTTTGAGTATCACAGCTAGTGAAACGACGCCGGTTGATACAACCACTGCTTTCAACGGTAACATTCCCATTTTTATTTTTATTTTTATTTATTTTTGTTGGGTTTTTGTTTGTTGTGTTTGTGAAATGAAGTATGAACAGGGTTTAAGAGAGAGAAAATAGGAAGGGGGAAATTGGGGTATATAAAGGGGGAGATATGGAGGGTTAGGGATTTGTTGGGGGAGAGTGATTGAATGTGAACCGTTGGATTGTGAGAGCGTTGATTTGGTGTGAGTGGAATCTTACCGGTTCACCGGTTATGTAAGGTAGACGTGACACGTGCCATGTGGGTAGAGTATCTACTTTTACTGTACGAGTATGTTACTTAAAAACATGGGCACGGCCGTGCCGGCACGCGGGCGGCACGGGCCCGGCACGACTCCGGCACGGCACGGCGGCCTAACTGTGGGTCGTGGGCCGTGCCGTGAACAATTTTCTGGAATTTGCCACGGGCAAGGCACGTGGCACGGCGGGCGGCACGGTGGCCGGCACGTTGGCACGACCCGCCGACATGGTCGGGCAGGCACGACACGGCACGAGCCCGCCAGGCACGGCCCGGCACGGCACTATTGTATACTTTTTGTATTATCGAACTTCGTATTCCGTATAATAAATGAAGTTATTCAATATTCATACACTATTGTACGATTTTTAATTATCATTACTTATTTTGTATTATTGAATTATCGTACATTCGTACCGGCTACCGTCATATAATAAAATAAGTTATTCTTCAATTTTTTGTGTTTTCGGATTATCGCACTCGTATTTTTTTTTTAATTATATGCATTGTTGTTTTTTGCTAAATTAATAAAATTGTTTTTATTTGTTTATATAAACTTAAACATAATTATTAATTAGATAAATTATTTATATAACCTAAATTAAAATAAAGTTGTTCAAAAAATGAAAACAAAATATATTAACATTAGCATAAACATAAATTAATCACATATATTAAGTTGTACTAAAAAATATATATATCGTTTAATTCGTTTTTTTTAATTTATTAAAATATATATATATATATATATATATATATTAAAAAGGGTGGCACGGTTTGGCCCGCGGACCGGCACGGCACGGCCCGCAAGGCACGTGGGCCGTGCCGTGCCGTGGGCTGGGGTGTGCCAATTTCAGGCACGGCACGACCCCCATCGCGGCACGGCACGGCACATTGCCCATGTTTACACTTACTTTTACTACTTCTAAAAACTAAAAATAAAATAAAATACTCTATCCGTTCTCTTTTGATAGTCACTTATGTCATATTTGGTGACCCAAAATGTTAGTCATATTTACATTTTTTAAGTACCATTAAAATTGAGTATTTTTTACCAAAATTCTCTCCCATTTGCAAAAATATTTGTACAAATTTAATTTTTTTCATGTAAATTTTATTTTCCCATGTACTTTAATTACTTTCTCTCTCTACTTTTTTGCATACCCAATGTAAATTTATTTTTTCAATGTATTTTTGTTATTTCTTATTTATATTTATTAATTCCCGTGATTTTCTACCAAAAGTGACTATCATAAATTCATAAGGGGACAGAGGGAGTACTTTCATAAAATAATCGTTGAACTCTCTCATGGGCTCATGGCACTATCAACACTGAGCAAACACTGTTTTCCTCGTTTTCCCTGCCCACTTTCTATCTCCTCTCACTCATAACTGTCATAAGTGTTTTTGTGATAATATTTTTATACAAAAATTGTTTGGAATAATCTGACCTTTGGCTCATCCGTATAAAATAATAGCAACTTTTGATTATTTTAAATTAATCCAACTTTTAATGTCAATCTGCTATAAATGATCCCAACCGATCATTTAAACTATAGCAAATTACATAACACATGTCGACATCTGATTGGTCAAAAAATTAAAAATAAAATTATTTTTAAAGAAAAAAAAAACATTAAAAAGCCACCCCCACTGGCCCAACCACCCTCCACGGGCGCCCACTAGCGCCACCACCTACTAGCCGGACCGCCTGCCTGCCAACCAACACCAGAGCGCCGCATCGATCATTCTCCCCCTCCCCCTAAACCACAAACCATCTTGAAAAACACTTCCTCGTCCCGATCTCGACCTCCCTCCACCACCCATGTACCTTTTCTACCCCTCTCCCCTTCCCCTGTACCTTTTCCGGTCCCCTCACCTTCCCCACACCATGATTTTGGCCCCAATCCTTTCCCACAACTCGCCGATTTTGTCCCCCTCCTCTTCCCATGCCTTGAATTTTATAATGGTTTAGGGCCTGTTCTCTTTAGCTTATTTTCAGTTCAGTTCCAATAAGTTCAGTTCAGTTCTTAATTTCCTTCTCTCATAAAATATTCAGTTCAGTTTCGTTCATTTCAGATCCAATAAGTTCAGTTCAGCCAATCTGAACATGGCCTTAGTTGCGACGAAATAGGGTACGGAATGGTCGGCGAACGACGCGGAGTAACTGTTTGTTGGAGATAGGATTGACGGCTCTAGACCCGGTCTAGGCTGATGATAGGGGCGATCGGGAGGTTGATGGGGTTGCGCTGGGGCTGAATAAGGTGTTAATTTTTTTGTTTTTAGTTAATTAAAGTTAATTAGTAATAATCAATTTTCAAAACAAAATTAAAATTAAAACTTATTTTTTTACCAATCAAGTGATCGATGTCACATATGTATTAAACTTAATAAAAAATTTACATACCCGAATATTTTATCAGTTTATATAATATGTTCTAAAAAAAAATAGTTATTTTTATCTATTAAATAACTTTCCTAATCTCATACTTTTATTTTAGAGTTTGGAAAGTTTTGAAACCTTATTATAATAATAATATTCATCTACAAGAAACTATAAATACCTTTCATGGCTTCACCCTATATTATTATTATTTGATCTCTACAATTTAACTCTAGTAGAATTGCTTTTGCGCTTCGCCGTCATCAGTCATTGGCATTATCATATTAAGTGCTTTTGATTAATCTTTATAAAAACCTTTTATATCAAAGAGCACTAACAATCAGTCTTATGGAAGATATAGCAATTATGCCGTCATGCGTGGTCTTCTATAATTGTTATTGGATATGTTTTGGCAAGGTAATCACACGATTTATTATCTTGGAATTGTTTGATTAATTTGTTTATATTGATCTCACACTATATTTTTGAGATGTTTGTATTTTTGTATTGTTATGTGTGATATGATTTATTATTTGTACTCTTTGTATATATGATTAATTATTATGGTATTATATGATTTGATTAGATTTGAGTATCGTATTATTTATTTTTGTTGTATATATTGATTGTACAATTATTGCTAGGGTTTTAATGTTATTGTTATAGGGAGTATTGTTTTATCAAGGTTTTAGGGTTGTTAATACAGAGTATTGTTTTTGGGTTGAGATTTGATTATATTTGGGTTATTAGTATTTTTTTTAGGAGTTGAGATATTGTGATCAAATTGTCATGTTATTTGGAAATTCGTGCCATTATTGAGATACTATTTATTATCAAGTTTATGATTATTTGATCAAGTATGAGATCAAAAGGTTGATAATTATTATTTTATTCTTGGTTGAGACTCGGCGTTATAGACCTTAGTCCTTGGCATGTTGGTAAGGAGATGGTAATCATGAGTTAAGAATGAGGTACAATCTTTATTATTTTATTTTTCTATGGTCCCCTACAGTGGGAATTGACCCGTATGTGGTCTGGTTCAAGGTGTTTTCTAATTATTGGGAGTATTCAAGTTTTTATACTTGTTGATTTTATTCGAATTACCCATGTCCAAGGCTAGGTATAAAACAAAGAGCATGACACATTTATTGGTTATGAGTTAATTGAGTGAAGGATTGTATTATTATTCGAGGTTGAGTTGATAAAGTTTATTTTCAGAGTACAATGTGTTATGTAGTTTTGAACTACATTATTTAATTGAGCTAGTAATGTTGATTATCCTATTATACTCTGTATTCTGATATGTGGTGATTACTTAGCTTTTTGCTGACGTGTGTGTGTTATTTTGTTCTGTTACTTGTGTTTGCGGCCATGTCTTTTTCCTATGGTGGCCCTGCGACGATCTAATTTGGAATTTGTCCTTAATGGTGAGCAGTCAAGATTGTTTAAACAGGTTGATCAAGTGATCGTAGCTAAAGGAGCTCAAGAGATCGATTAGTTTGTTTATAACAAGTTTGTAAAGTTGTATAAATAGCTCACCTAGTTTATTGGGTTGTAATAATTGAGATTTTGTAAGCCTTAACACTTGACAGGTTGTCGAGTGTGGCGGTAATATCTCCGATTTAGGTGTATGCTTCCGCTATTTTATTTAAAGGTTGTTTATTTTTCTTTTATTTATTGTTTATTGTTAATAGTGAATCAGGGGTGTTACATTTTCAGTCAAGGGTTACTTAAGTTTTTCAGTCAGGGGTTACTTGAGGGGTTCGGACAGGAATTACTCAGCTCGAAGGGTTCACTCGATCGGTTAAGGGTTACTCAATCAGGGGTTACTCAAGTTTCTTAAGTTAGGCGTTACTCGAACTTCTCGAACACGCCGCATACAACAAATTGGGGACACGAGTAACCCCTGACCGAGAAACTCAAGTAACCCAGAAACTTGAGTACTCCTGACCGAGAAACTCAAGTAGCCCCGGAAGCTTGAGTAACCCATGACCGAGAAACTCAAGTAACCCCGGAAAATTCAAGTGATCCTTGACTGAGAAACTCAAGTAATCCCAAAAACTCAAGTAACCCATGACCGAGAAAGTCAAGTAACCCCCGCCACACGGAACAATAGATTGCATGTAAAAATTTGTGAAGTATATATCATACATAAATCTTACCCTTAAAAAAGTTAAAACCTGTGAAAGATGTTGGTTGGGATAAAATTTCATTAGCACAATTTTTTTCTTTTTCTACTTTTCTTCTTGTCATCTTTCCATGCTATTCTTGATATGGTTTGATTTGATTAATTGATCCTTATCCAATATTAGCTCTTAGAATGACCTAGATGTTTAATATATTGTCAAATAAAATCTGTACGAATTTGTGTACAGTACATCTCTTTGACTAAGGTCTTCCATTTTGCTTGAGTTGCGCGATTACTATGAATTTAGTCAGCTGGCTGTCATTTAGCATTTGATAATTCTATTTATTGTCTTCATTAGTTTGGATTT